ACTAGAGATATTACACTAGGTGGCACGCAACAGCGGCGTGCAATGCTTATTGTTTGTAATTAGGCTAGTTTTATACATTCTAAATAACTAGCAACTTAACAAGAAAGGCAATTTTTTACAAGAAACTCGCGCAAGGCAGAGAAATTTTCTGCTTTTACACAAACTGTAATGGCGTCGGCGAAAATGCATGTGCGAGCGAAATGGCAATATAGCCGCTGTGCTATTAAGTTGGCAGCACTGTGTGTGTTGGCTTATGCCGATATGTGCAAAATTTGCCAACACTCATTGTATTTCATTGCTATTGGAATTGCTGAAATTCTGTTGTTGTTGTTGTTATTATTATTATTATTATTATTTGGTTATGTATTTTAAAAACAAGGTTAAATGTGAAACATACCTGCTTTATTTGCTCGCTGCTCTCATTAAAATTTCGCTTGTTCACGTGTTTGACCAAATTACGAATCTGCGTTAGCGGCGTCTTCAATTGGTTCTCTACGTTCATAATTCTACGAATCAAATTTATTGGTTCTGTGTTCGGTGAGCTTTTTCTTTTCTTTTCGTTTCTTTTTTATTATTATTGTTTTTTTTTTTGTTACTCTACGTTTCGCTGTTTCTAACGACTGGTGCTTCTGGTGGGTGGTGTTGGTGTTGATAACGCCGAAATTTGTCGGAAATACTTTTCATACGTATATATGTACCTTCATATACGTATTTACCAATACGTTCAAATTGTCTTGGTATTGGTATTGGTGCTTGACGTATTTGTTGCTTCTTCTTCAGACGTAAACGTAAATTGTGATGCGTTTTTTCGCTTTTAATATTGCGGCGCAGATATCAATATATTTAGTATATCACGTTCTTTTTTCTTTTTCGTATAAATGTTTTCCTATTTCATGGCACTTGGCTGAGGCCCCCCTTCGTAGGGGCCAGCAGCAGCTCTACATTGCTCGCATCTATTTTGACAATTTAGACAACAACAAAATTGCACAAGTCATCGGAGAGCTGTTGCTGCTGTTTGGTTAACTTTTATTCCGTCCAAATTTTGCCAGCACACACGTAATGGAAATGAATGAATCGCACGTACGTACACACACGCACACACATGCACTGGGCACAAAGAAATTTACTTTGATTCGTTCACGCAGCTCGTTTTACCCACGGTTTTGTCGCTAGAAAAATCACTGAAAATTTCCTGTGTACTGCCCAAGTTGGTTAATTAACGTCCAAATTTAAATTGTTTTTTTTTTACGCTTAATTTGGATTAATTTAATCGCTATTCGATCGCTTTCATTTTGTTCGTGTCTGTTCCACAATTAGAGATGGACAGGAAACATCGATGCAATGTTGCTATCGATATGGCACAGGCACGATAACAACTGTGTTGCACAACGCTGTATATGTGCAAACAGCTGTTGCATATATTAATTAACGATCAATTAAATCGAATTATTAAATGTTAATTTGAATTCTATTTAAAGTGGAACATACAGATTGTAAGGATTAAGCTGCCGATGTACGTTAAAGTCGCATTGTACACCTTTGTAATACACTTCAATTAACCATCATGCAGTCTGCTCGTGTTGAGCCCGCGCACAGCCTTGCGAGTGTACATAACACCAACAAGCACTTTATGCAGCCCACACAACAGTTAAATCAACCAATCAAGTTAAATGTGTGCAGCGCGTAGACCAATTGTCGATGCTATATTTAAACATAATGTGTTGTTGGGCCAAGTCACGTGCAGCTCGGCCAGCCGCAGGCTACGCTACCTGAACACCAGCAGCAGCCATGATACCGGAGCAGCCGTTACGTCCCGCCACGCTCTTATCAAATCCATACCCGGTGGCCGAAAAACTGTGAGTGATTTCCAAGAGCTCTACGAAGCAACAAAAAAGAAATTTCAATGTAAGCCTTGCGATTATCAGGCACTCCATTTAGACTCCACTGTCAGTCTATTTGAATTCCCCTAACAAGATCAATAAAACGTTATTTGATCTCTTCATATTTTAGCCAAAAAGCTGCCCGTCGATGTGCATCCGGACGCGGTCTTTGCGTGCAATGAACTCGACCTCAGCGAGGTGCAGGTGTATGGCTTCGACTATGACTATACACTCGCCTGCTACAAGCCCATATTGGAGGACTTGCTGTACAATTTGGCCCGCGAAATGCTGGTCAAGCGTTTCAGATATCCGGAAGACATTCTAGATCTGGAATATGAGCCGAATTTTGCGGTCCGTGGTCTGCACTACGATGTGGAGAAGGGTCTGCTCGTCAAGCTGGACTCGTTTCTGCAGCTACAGCTCGGCTCCGTCTACCGCGGACGCACCAAGGTCGGCGCCGACGAGGTCCTGAAGCTCTATCACAATCGTCTGCTGCCCATTGCCTACGTGGAGGGACCCAACAATAGCTACAGGGTAGGTATTACTTTTACCCAGGCAAAGCTTGTCGATAATCTCGGATTTCTGTGCCCTCACAGCATAATACAAACTCGAAAATGGTGCAATTGGCGGATCTGTTCTCAGTGCCGGAAATGTGCCTGCTGTGCAACGTAATCGAATACTTTGAACGGAATCGCATCGATTATCATCCCGAGATTGTGTTCCATGACACGCGAACCGCAATGGGCTCCTGTCATCCCATAATGCATGCCACCGTCATGAAGGACACGGAAAAGTACATCAAACGCAATTCAAGACTTGCGCAATATTTACAGAAGCTGCAGCAAGCTGGCAAGAATCTCTTTCTGGTGACCAACAGTCCCTTTTCGTTTGTGTAAGAGAGAATCATCCTGTGGCTAGTCCGAATATAATCTTGTTTTTTTTCTTCCCCCTAATTCTAGCAACTGCGGCATGTCCTACTTGGTCGGTGCCAATTGGCGAGATTTCTTCGATGTGGTCATTGTGCAGGCGCGCAAACCGAAATTCTTTACGGATGAATCACGGCCCATACGGCTGTACGATGAGAAAACCAGTTCGCATCTATGGGATCGCGTGTTTAAGCTGGAAAAAGGCAAAATCTATTACGAGGTAGCACACTTTCCATGTATATTTGCACAGCTGTAAAACAATTAACATAACACGCAAGTCTCGCTAAAAGCGCGCCGCAGCTGTTAAATCAATTATTAGAAATGTAAATACTATATATTAGGCGATCTCAAGTTACCCCTTTAGCCAGAATCAGTCGAATAATTGGTTTTTGCATGGATAACTTTTCCAGTTTTTCCAGATATAAGTCTGCGCACACGTCTGCAAAGTTTCATCGAAGCGTATTACTCTCTATTATTTAAATTAAATAATACATTAGTCTCACATACATACATTAGTAATAATAAATAATACATAAGTCGATTGCAAGTTACTTCTATAGCCAGAATCAGTCGAATAATTAGTTTTTGCATGGATAACTCTTCCAGTTATCTGCAGCTCAAGTCTGCAAAGTCTTATCGAGGCGTATTACTCTAAATTATTTAAATTAAATAATACATTAGTCATACATCAAAGTACATTAGTCAAACAAACATACATAATAATAAATAATACATTAGGCGATCGCGGCTCAGCTCACATTCTAATTCTAATATCATATAATCTCTATTGCCAGAATCAGTCGAATAATTAGTTTTTGTATGAATAAGTTTTCTAGTTATTCTCAGCACACGTCTGCAAAGTTTCATCGAAGCGTATTACTCTATATTATTTAAATTAAATAATACATTAGTCATACATCATAATACATTAGTCATACATACATACATTAGTAATAATAAATAATACATTAGGCGATCGCGGCTCAGCTCACATTCTAATTCTAATATCATATAATCTCTTTAGCCAGAATCAGTCGAATAATTAGTTTTTGTATAGATAACTTTTCTAAATATCGAAGCGTATTACTCTATATTATTTAATTTAAATAATAATAAATAATACATTAGTCATATTTTGTAATACATTAGTCATACATGCATACATTAGTAAATATAAAATAATAAATTAGTCGACCGTAAGTCATACCATATAGCACTGTAGGCAGAATCATCATAATATATTAGTCATACATAATGATAAATAATACATTAGGCGATTACAAGTTAGGCCGCATTCTAATTCTAATATCAAACAGTTCTAAGGCCAGAATCAGTCGAATAATTAATAACTTTTGTATGGGTAACTTTTCCAACTATCGAAGCGTATTACTCTATATTATTTAAATTGAATAATAGTAAATAATACATTAGTCATACATCATAATACATTAGTCATACATACATAAATAAGTATTAACTTTTCTTACTCTATATTATTTAAATTTCCCGCCATTTACAGGGCTCGGTGCGGCAGCTGCAGGAGCTGAAAGGCTGGCGCGGGCATTCTGTGCTTTATTTTGGCGATCATCCCTACAGCGATCTGGCAGATGTGACCCTAAAGCACAGCTGGCGAACGGGCGCCATCATCAGCGAGCTGGCCGTGCGTATTTAGATCCATTTAAATCAAATTTGTGTACCAATCCTCACTGTAATTGCAGCATGAGATCAAGACGTTGAATCGCGTGGACTTCAAGATGAGCGCCAATTGGCTGCAGATGCTCACACAGCTGATCGAGGACACGCAGGACGAGGAGAGCGAGGCTGCGCAGGTCTGCCTGCGCGACTGGATGGATGAGCGTGATCAATTGCGGTGCGCTTGCAGCTAAGATAATATAAATATAATATATGATTATATGTATATTTCCCATTTGCAGCAACGCGACAAAGAACGTGTTCAACGAGCAGTTCGGCAGCGTTTTTCGCACCTATCACAATCCGACGTACTTCTCGCGGCGTCTGTTCCGCTTCGCGGACATTTACACCAGCGACATTACGAATTTGCTCAAGTTTTCGGCGGCGCACACCTTCTATCCGCGTCGCGGCGTCATGCCGCACGAATATGCCTCGCACTTTATTTAAATTAAGGAGCATATTTCAGTTAAATCAGCTCTCTCTCTCGAACGTAGTCTTAGTCTTAGTTCATGCAAGAAAAAAGTGCCAGTGTTTATTGTTGTTGTTTTTAGCTTGAATCTAGAGAATTTATAATTGATTGTTGTTAGAGCAAGTGTTGAATTTATTATTATTGTCATTTGCTCAGCGGCTCAATAAAATCGTTGTAATAGTTGACAAATATCCGCCTCGTTTCGCCGGCCAAATAATCGAGTTTTGCCCGCATCGCTTCGCGCCTCTCTTTGCTGCACTTGTATTTGCCCCAGGCCATCAGATCGAACAGGCAACCGAGCTTGGGTATGTACTCGACCGCGTTGTTGCCAATCATCGCCTCAGTTCCGGCCAGCTCGTATTCAATAATGCGCGCCAAATGGACATATTCTGTGTCGTCGAACGGTTTTCCGGCTGTCGGGGAAGATCTTAATTAATAGCAATCCTTGATAGGGAGCAGGGGAGCAAGGAAGCCAGGAGCCGGTCCACTCACCCGCTTTGGCTGTTAAGCAGGCCAGGATTAGCCGATTGGCCAAGTGCAGCCTGAGCAGATGATAGTCTAGGAGCCAATTGCTGAGCCAGTCCAAACATTTGTACGCCTCGTGACGCGCATTCGGGTTGTCACAGCTTGCGACTAGCACTAGGAAATCCTCATACCAGGGGAACTCTTGTGGTGTCTGGCACACTGTGCAGCAAATTAGCGGCTGTTCGGATTCCAGGCACCACCAGTTGGGCTCCTTCAGCTGGGCGGGCACAAAGATCTGCTCGCAGTGCTCGCAGCGATAGCGATGAAAAGCAAACTGGCGAGAAAGCAGAAAAGAGAGATAAGAAAAAGAGAATGTGACTGGAATTGGGTGACCCACGTAATCTTGATCGGGCTCGGCGCGAACACACTTGCTGCAGCTGCACTGGAACTTGAACACCTGCTGCAGCTGCTCCTGGCGCTTGGCCAAGCTGCACGTCTTGTAGTTCAGTGTGTAGCAATTGAAGATCTCCTCGCCCGGCTCAATGTTCCGCGCCGCATAGCTGCTCACCGAGCGGCCATCGTACCAGCTGCGCAGGCTCGGCTCACAGGCATGATTGCACATTCCATAATACGGCAAATTTAGCGACTTGATCAGCGTCGTCCTGTCCAACTTGTGCAGGCAGCCCAAGCGCAAATGGTATGGTGCGCGCCAGAGCTGCGGCTGCAGCAGCACAAATTCATTGACGCCCAGGTAGCGGGGCAAAATGGCATCGCCCACATGGGCATTTTTATGCAATTGACTGGCCGAGCGCACGATCAGCGCGGCCAGCAACAAATGCCAATCCTCGGCGGAGGCAGCTGTGCTGGCGAGCAGCTGCTCATAGAAATTGGTGCACTGATGTAGATAAACCTGCAGCAGGTTGGCGGATAACACGCAATACATCAGCTGCGATGTGTCCTCCTTGTCCAGATGGTGCATCATGCACAGCGTCTGCACATGCTGCGGTGCACTTGGCCAATGGTGCTCGGCGGCGGCGATGGACATAAGCGATTGCCACAGCTCTGTTGCAGTCGAGCCGCCGTTGCGCAGCTGCGGCAGCCACTGTGGCACATAGGTAAGCACTAGGCGCAGGGCCAAATGGGAAGGCCCACACATGTGCAGCAAATCCCTGCGATATGCCGCACACTCGTAGCCGTGGATGGACGCCTGCAGCTGGCGACAACGGCGCGAACAGTAGACCACACGCTGATGGCACCGCGTACAGGGTATGGGCGCGCACATCAGATTCGCAGCGCATTGCTGGCAAATCAGACGCCTCTCGATCGGCACAAAGCATTCGGCCTGCTCGGTGAATATAAGCTCGCCCTGCTTAATGCGCTGCGAGGCTACCATGTAGCGTCCCCTTGAGCCGGCGTCTGTTAAGCTGCAATTGGCGAATAGATTAATTTGATTAAATAGACTAAAATCCAACCATTTACATATCTGTATTGTTGCTCCCCACTTTGTCCAGCTTCGATTCCTCCATCTCCTCCACTTGCGGTTTGCTTTGCAGCAGCTGCTTCAGCTCCTGCTGCATCTGCTCCAATTGCTGTGCAAAGCTGGCATTTAGCTCCAGCTGCTCCAGGCGGGCGACGTGCTCGCCCAGCTTCTGGGCATCGCCCATCTTCCAGGCACAGTAGGCCTGCCGCATGATTAGCTTGTGCTGCATCTTCTTCGGATACCCAAACTCCAGAGCACACTCACAATCATCATAGGCCTGCTCGTAGTAGCCAAAGTCCTGCAGTGCCATGGCGCGATTGGCAAATCCCAAACACAGCTCCTCGTTGGCATTCTCCGCCTCGAGAATTGCCTGCGTATAGAGGCGACTGGCGCTGAGCAAACATTCCGCCAAGTCGCTGCCACTTTTCTCCGATTTACTTTTGTAGACCTCGTTGCCCTGCTCCCGCAGCGAGCGCGACTGCTTGGCGCAAATCTCCACATTGCTCGGCTCGTCCAGATGCTGCAGCAGTTCTTCGGTCAGTTCCTTAAAACGTTGACGTATCGCTGCAGGCAGCGCGTGCAAAACTTTGATTGTTTCTAGTTCGTTTTGGTAAGTTTCGGTAAAAGCAATTAACTTATTTTGTTCAGCGAAAACTGTTGCCAAAGCAAACATAATTATATATTTTGTATATTAATTTAGTGTTTTAGAAGAATATTCGCCTGTTCCGCAACTAAGTTTCCTCTGCTTTTTAAATTGTGAGGCTGGAGATGCGCCAAAAGCTCAAAGTATCGATAAATATCGTGAATGATGGAAATCGGCTGCGTGGTTATTGAGGCTATATTCAACAAGCCCAAAAGCTGCAGCTGCTGCTGAGGTTGCTTGAGATGTTGTAGAAGTAAAGTACTCTTCATTTACTCAGAGCTGTGTGCCATTCTTTAATGTTCTTTTAGGCATTTAGGCTCTCGGCAACACGCCTCTGTACACAAATACGTTCGCAAGTCTACAAATGCAAGAGCCGATTGCATACATCATTTGTAACGGCTGCAGTTGTTATTGCCGGCTTTTTACATTGGCCAGTGCTGCCTATCAACAGTTGCCAACTATCGATACTTATCAAAACAAACAGCTGTTCCGGCTATGTTATTGCACTGTTATCGGTAATTTGTTTTTTTTTTTCGATGGCAAAACATAAAAACGCAAATTAATTATAATTTAAAAGTTAGATAAATTTAAACAATGGATTTGCAACAACTGGAAGAGGAAGCGCGCCAAGCAGCGCTCAAGGACATACAAAACATGCTGCAGCGTCCTGGGCAGCTGGAGAAAGTGGAGCAGTATCGTCATCGGATCGCACGGAAAAAGGCATCCGTGGAGGCGTTGCTGAAGACGGGCATGCAGAACCAGCTGGAGGGCGTGCGTGTCGGCTTGAAACAGCTGGTGACGTGCATGCAGGATGTGCGCGAGGTGCGCCGTCGCATGGTCGAGGTGGAGCGCCTGCTGGTGGGCGTGCCCGAAATATACGATGCACTGGAGGTGGTGCGCGAGGAGAACACAAAGCACTCGCAATACGCGACGGCCATGGAGAACCTTAAGCACATTTTCAATGTGGATGCCAGCGTCCAAAAGACAATGGCCCTGATCGACGAGGACAAGTTGCTGAATGCGCATCAGTGCCTGGCGGATCTGGAGAACTCGCGCGACGATCTGCTCTACGAGCTGCACAAACAGCCCAAGCAGCATGCCTCCGACAAGATAACGCTCAAGCGGCACTTCGAGAAGGTCGATCAGGTCTCGCAGGCGCTGGAAAAGAAACTCCGGCTCATCATCAGCCGCACGCTGAACACCGTGCGAAAGAAGCCCACGGTCATTGTGACGGCGCTGCGCATCATCGAGCGCGAGGAGAAGAACGATCAGTTTGCCCTGCAGCAGCAGAAGGTCACGAATTTCCTGCCGCCAGGCCGGCCTAAGGCGTGGCGCAAAATGATTATGGACGTGCTGCAGGCGGCTGTCATAACGCGCATCGAGGGCTCCAAGCTGGAGGAGCGGGCGGACAACAAGTTGTGGCTGGTGCGAGATTTGGAGATCTTGCGTCAGATCATACTGGAGGACTTGCGTGTGGTCAAGTCGCTGTGCGTGCCCTGCTTTCCGCCCCACTACGACATCTTCAACGAGTATGTCCGCTTCTATCACGAGGGCCTCTCCAGCTACGTGAGTAACCTGCTCCACCTGCTTCTGCTTTAACTAAACACTTCTCTCTTTTTTTTTCCGGCCACCTGAAGCTGGACAACATTGTGAAGTCGGGCCTGCAGGGCAACGAGTACGTCTCGATGTTGGCCTGGGTTATGCACACCTATCCCGGCGCCGATCTGATGTCGCATGCGGATCTCAATGTGGATGTGCTTAAGCTCTCGCGGCCACTGCTGCATCCGGAGCACCTGAAATCACTGGAGGATGAGTATCTGCAGAATATGGAGCGCAACTATCAGGATTGGATGAAGAAGACCGTCGACTCGGAGAAGCAGGAATGGTACTCCGAAATGCTGCCCGATCAGCGGGATCATTATTACAACAGTGCCGGCCCCGTGATCATATTCGAGATGATCGATCAGCATCTCCAAGTGACCAACACCATACACCAAGAGCTCACGTTTAAGGCCCTGGTGCTCAGCATACAGCAGGTGGAGCTGTTTGGCCAAACGTATCTGAAGAATGTCATCGAGCTGAAGGAGCATCATTTCCGCAATCGCGACCAGATCAAATACTTTACGCACTATATCATAACCATTGTGAACAATAGCCAGAACGTCGTGGAGATGGCGCAACAGATGAAGCATCTGTTTTGGCCCAAATCCCGAACGGAACACTATGAGGACTTTGAGAAGCTGTTGGCCACATTCCAGCGCATACGCGCACATGCCGCCAACTATTTGCTGGAGGAGGCCTTCCTGGACATGGAATGCCATTTCAATGATCTGTTCACGGTCAAGTGGCTCGGCAGCAGCATTGCCGTGGACACGATCTGTGTGACACTGGATGATTACTTTCAGGACTATAATCATCTGTTGCCCGCCAACTTTGAGATGGTCATCAATGAGGCCCAAAAGCTGCTGGCCAAGCGCTACATTCGAGCGCTGCTCTCCAAGCGGCTGTCCAAGACGCGCAGCGAATGCGATGCGATTACCCGCAAAATCAATCTGGAGGCGAAGCGCATTAAACAGTTCTTTGAGAAAATTGCGCCCAAGATTTCGCTCAGCGATTCGCCGCTGGATTTGATAACCACGCTGTCGGCGCTCCTTGTCGCCGATATTGAATTGCTCGCCTTGGATTTGCATACGCTGCTGGGGAGCTATCCGTCGCTGAGCGAGGATCATCTGGTGCGTCTCTTCTACATACGCAACGATGTGAAGGCGGCCGAGGTGCGCGAGAAGGTGCAGGATGCGATGAAGTCCAAGAAGGCAATGGTCAGCATTGCCAAGCAGGATTGCATCTTCAAGGAGATCGTGTTCAGCGACAAGCTGTGGTAAAACAACAGCAACTACTTATAAAAATCTGCTACGCATACTCAGTATAAGACATTCTACTTATAAAACTAGCCAACTCCCTCCCCCCGCCCCATACACATAGCTGCGGTAAAACAACAGCAACTACTTATAAACATCTGCTACGCATACTCAGTATAAGACATTCTACTTATAAAACTAGCCAACACCCCCCCCCCCCCTCCTTCCACACACACATACACACTCACAGCGCAACAGCTCATTCATCTGCCGGTCAGCTGTCGCACGCCTTGGCGCGCTTTCGCTGGGAGCTTTCGTGCGCGGTGAAAGCTCTCAGCATATGCAGAGGCGTAGCTGAAACTTTGCCTCAGCCATGTGTAGCTTGGGTGGGGCGGCATGGTACGCCACTGGCGCAGCATAAGCATTGTGGAGCAGCACGTTTCCATATGATTTTCAGTTTTGTTTGTGTCTGTGTCCACGGCAGACCGCAGCAGTAGCAACAATATTTTATAATCATTTTTATGTGTGTTTCAAGTGCAGTGAATTAATAAAATTATTATTATCATAATTAATAGTAATAAAATAAACCAAAAACAATTATTTTCGGTAAGTGAGACAAGGCTGGGCAGAGCACAGGCAGTGGAGTTAACGGAGCTTTTAATGCCGCTACATACATGCATGCACAAGCATGCTTATATATGTGTATATGTGTATATATACACATGTGCAAAACGTGTGCAGTGCTGTGTTTTGTTATAATTTTATGCATTGCGCTTGAACCTTGAAAAGTTTTTGGTCATTTTGTCAAATGTACAAATAAAATCAATGCTACGTTCTCTTTCTGGCAACAGGAGTCATACGACGCTGTGTGCAGTAAGTTGGCATTGTATAAGCGAGCTGCTGTATTGGTGCCGCTGGGGTTGCTAACTAGAAAACTGGCTGGTCCAGGCTGGCCAAGCAAACTGCATGGCTAACAAATTGTCGTATGTACCGTTTACCCAGTGAACACGCTCATCCCACTCCATTGGCTATTAATAAATACAGAACTGAACTCTTTGTGTGCGTGTATCGGTCCGTCTGTCTATCTGTGTGATTGCGCGCGCTCTCATTCTCGCTTTAAGCGAGTCCCGTTATCAGAACTTGACGCGCTGCGCGCGTTTCTTTTTATCAGCAAACACCGTTACGAATTGCATTTAAATGCAAATAATTTGTTTCAGCTGTTTTCTAATGCAATTTGTCAACGCGCCACCTGTAGTCTGTTTTTATTTTGTATTTTCTCAAGTGCTCTTTCCATGTGACTAATACTATTGCAAAACCAGCTGCATAAGCAAGTGAGCAGACGGAATTCGCGTTAAACGGCGTTTGTGTCTGCGCACGTGTCTGCGCTGCAATAGCCCCCTCCCTAACCCTCCCCCACATACGCAAAAACACACACAAAACAGAAATACAAAACAACAAGAACATATACAATTACCGCTATGCCGGCTATTCATTATAATTCACGCAGAGGGTATTATGGATTCGTGAGGATGTTTGTAACGCCTGTTTAACATTATTCCAAATAATGTTTTTCTCTGCTAATCACGTGTTCGTGTGAATATATGTATGTATATATATATACATATGTATATATATTTCGATGCCGTTAGTTGGCTTTTTGAAAATACTTTTATACCCTCTTTTTTTATAATCTATCCAAATGTAGTTTAATGTCTTTGTTCAGATTCCAAATTTATTGAAATTAGCTTTTCATTTCTATTGTTGCCTTTTGATTGAGTATAATTCTAAATTAATTGACAAATGTTACGAAATTCCAAATTTTAAATGTTTTTGAAGATTTACTAAAGAAAAAAAATAGGTTAATAATTTTAATCTCTTATAATATACCAAAAATATAAAATTACATACAAAGTTCTTTTAAGAATTCGCTTTTCGCTGTCAGAAATTGAAGAAAAACTTTCTTTAATGCTTAAAATAATTAATGTTTGCGATTTATTTTGATATTTGAGAATGTTTTCTATACGTTCAATGTAGAATCGCGTAGACTAGCGGAGATCTTTTTATCACACATAGATACATACATACATACATACATATACGTATGTTAGGCCGAACTGCATACCCTGCATATTTTTGAGCGAGCGACGTTCTCACGGTCGCCGTTTGGCTTTTGGCCGATCTTATTTCATGTGCAGACATCTCTACATTCAAAACTGTTTGTTCTGAATGACTGACTGATAGCAAATGATTGAATATCTGATTGACTGAATGATTGATTGACTTGTTGTTCATTGGTTAAATGAATGACTGACTGACTGAATGTAAGATTGTCTGGCTGATTGCCAGATTGACTGAATGATGAGAGAATAATTGACTAACTTGTTGACTGAATGACTGACATACTGATTGACTGGATGACTGAAATGTATGATTATCTGACTGATTGACAGATTTATTGACTAACTAAATGACTGACTGCCTGATTGACTAGATGACTGAATGTAAAATTGACTGACTGATTGATAGATTGACTGAATGATGACTGATTCATTGACTAGCTAGTTGACTGAATGACTCACTGACTGATTGTCTGGATGACTGAATGTTTGATTGTCTGAGTGATTGGTAGGTTGTCTGAATGATAACTGATCATTTGACTAACTAAATGATTGACTGTACTGATTGACTGGATGACTGACTGTACGAATGTCCGACTGATTGATGGATAATAACGAATAACGACTGATTAATTGACTAACTAGTTGACTGAATGATTTTCATACCAAATGACTTACTTACTGGCTAGTTGATTGACTAACTGATTGACTGATTGATGATAAATGCACTGCCCGAACCAGACGAGCTAGGAAGATGGGGTTTTGACAAACTTGCTGGGTGGTATATTTAGATCAACTGGTGCTTCAGTTAAGGCCCGATACACCCGGTTAGGAAGCTTACGAGCAGTCGGATTGAGTTAAATTTGATTATATCCCATTCGATTAGATTAGGCGAGCACTTTAATAATCTCATTTAGCTGCAATAAATCACAATCATTCACATGCTGATTGTTAGCCCTGCCCCTCTAGTTTACTTGAGACCCGTTATCATCTCTCCCAATCCATTCTTTTTTTGCAGCCGTAGAGGATCTGGATAGTACGTACCATGAGCAAAACGCATCGGGATCATAAGATCGTTATTATCGGCGCCGGAGCATCGGGTGTTGCGTGCGCCACCAAGCTGCTGGAATATGGCTTCCAGAATGTGCTGATCGTTGAGGCCGAGTCGCGTCTGGGCGGTCGCATACACACGATACCCTTTGGCGAGAATGTGATCGATCTGGGCGCCCAATGGTGCCACGGCGAGCAGGACAACATTGTCTACGAGCTGGCCAGCCAGCACCAGCTGCTCGAGTCCACGGGACCCGTCTACGAGAACTATCAGTGTGTGCGCAGCAATCGCGAGGTGCTGCCGGACAACATCGCCAGTCGGCTGAAGGCGATTGTCGGAGATTCGCTGGTCACACGGCAGCTGGAGCTGCAGCACTGCAGCGGCTCCCTGGGCAGCTATTTGTCCAGCAAGTTCTACGAGATGCTGCGCCGGCCGGAGAACGCCGACATTGATCCGATCATTGCGGGCGAATTCTTTGACAATTATCAGAAGTTCGAGAATTCGGTGGAGGCATCCGACACCCTCGAGGAGGTGTCGGGACGTGGCTATCTGGACTATTGGGAGTGCGAGGGCGACATTCTGCTCAACTGGAAGGACAAGGGCTTTGTCGAGCTGTTGCGTCTCCTCACGCGCAGTCGGGAGCTGCAGACAAGCTCGGATCTGGGCATACTCGAGCAGCGGGTGCTCTTCAATCGGCGCGTCACCAAAATCAATTGGAATCGCAACGATGCTCGGGTCGAGCTGCAGCTGAACAATGGCGAATCCTGCCTGGCAGATCATGTGATAGTCACCGTTTCGCTGGGCGTGCTCAAGGAGCAGCATTTGCAGCTGTTCGAGCCGCAGCTGCCGGTGGCCAAGCAGCGGGCTATCCAGGGATTGGCCTTTGGCACCGTCAACAAGCTGTTTGTCGAGTTCCCCGAGGCCTTTTGGCCCGACGATTGGACGGGCTTTACGCTGCTGTGGCGTCAACAGGATCTGGCCGATATACGCAATACATCGCTCGCCTGGCTAGAGGATGTCTTTGGCTTCTATCGCGTCAGCTATCAGCCACGCGTCCTGGCCGGCTGGATCATAAATGCCAATGGCCGGCACATGGAGTCACTGCAGCCGGCCGAGATTCTCGCCGGCTGCATGTATCTCTTCCGGCGCTTCCTGCACTGGCACATACCCGAGCCGCTCAGCTTTCGCAGCTCCGCCTGGTATACAAATCCGCATTTCCGTGGCTCCTACTCCTTTCGCTCCATGGACACGGAACGCCTCGGTACCGGCGCCAGCGATCTGGCCCAGCCATTGACGGTGGTTGCCATGACGCCGCCGTCGCCGGGACGCAGCAAAATGCTGGTGCCACCGCAGAGCCGCTGTGACAAGCCAATTGTCCAGTTCGCCGGCGAGGCCAGCAGCGAACATTACTACTCAACGGTTCACGGTGCTGTCGAGGCCGGTTGGCGCGAGGCCAAGCGATTGGCGGACTTTTATGGCCTCAGCGTGGCGCCGGCCAAGTCGCAGCTATAACATCAGGAGTCGGCGCGAGCCTATTTTGTAAGTAATTGTGCAATGGATTATGGATAAAATTAAAAAGTATAACAAAATAGCTCAGGTCTTCCTAGGATCTGCTTACAATCAATCAATCAATCAATCAATCCTGATTAGGTATTCAAATATATAGCATAGAATGCTACCATGTGCTATTTACCATACCTAAATCGTATACCTACCTAACTATAAAACATTTTGACTTGATTGACCGCCTGATCAATCAATCAATCCTGATTAGGTATACAAATATATAGCATAGAATGCTACCATGTGCTATTTACCACACCTAAATCGTATATCTACCCAACTATAAAACATTTTGACTTGATTGACCGCCTGATCAATCAATCAATCCTGATTAGGTATACAAATATATAGCATAGAATGCTACCATGTGCTATTTACCACACCTAAATCGTATATCTACCCAACTATAAAACATTTTGACTTGATTGGTCAGGTCTTCTTAGGATCTGCTTACAATCAATCAATCAATCAATCAATCCTGATCGATATACAAGTATGTAGCATAGAAAGCTACTTTGTGCTACTTACCATACATAATTCTTATGTCCATCTCATTCATTTTGTCTTAACTGACCGTCTGATTTCTCAGGTCTTCTTAGGATCTACTTACAATCAATCAATCAATCAATCCTGAATAGAAAAAGCTACTATGTTGTATTTACCATACATATATCCATCTAACCATGAAACATTTTGTCTTAACTGACCACCTGATTGTCTGACTGATTGACTGACTGACTGGCTGACAGATTGATTGACTGACTTACTAATTGGCGATCAACGCAGCGCTATGAAGCTGCATTATTCATAGAAGTTCCATTTTAAGCTGAAAATAAGTATACAGTAGATTGACAGTATAAATACAGTATAAAGAACTGTGCTGACTGACTGATTAAGTGATTGACTCACATATTAACATAAGTATGAGCTCTTTGTCGTAGTTAGCAGCTAAATGTGGTTATCCATATACATACATATATAATTGCGTATATATATGAATATATATATATATATAAAGAGTTTGTTCTGACTGATTGACTGATTGTCTGTCTGTCTGAGTGATTGATGAGCTGCATTTTCGCTACTTTATGTGATATAATATAGTGGAAAATAAGTGAAAAACGGTTGCAAGGTTGTATTTTTTCGTCCGATTGGCACAATTTTGGGATGTCTATATTAATTTTTGTTCTTCATCTGATCGGGCCTTTATTAATTTTCTAATATCGATGTAAGATGTCCTTTGAGACGTGTTTGTATAAGAATTGAACTTATTAAATTTCTGCCCCCTTAATAATCGTTCGGATCTTCCTCTTGAGTATTGCTCGGAGCTGAGCTGAGTAGGCAATTAAATTCCAAAAATTCAGTGGATTTGACAATTTCTCTACAGTTCTAGTTTTAGCCAATTTAAATTTTGTAAATTATTATATGGGAAGTGTAAGTACGACCCATGCCAAGGGGAGAATTTTGAATTTAAGACCCAAAAAATAACTGCAGTGTTGTGCGAAAAAATCAAGTCGGACCCTACACAATCGGTATCATGCATCCAAGAGAAAATCGCCCAAGAAACTTAATCAGTCGTTACACCAGGATCCCAGAATTCTGATATTGGGCGCCGGCGTTTCGGGTCTCGCCTGCGCCGTCGAGCTGAAGAGGCACGGCTTCGAGAATGTGCGCATCGTGGAGATGTCCAATCGGATTGGCGGACGTATCAGAACCATGAAGTTCGCCGATAACTATGTCGATTTGGGTGCCCAGTGGATCTATGGCCAGCACGAGAATGTCGTCTATCAAATGGTTAGGGAATTGAATATGTTGGATCCGGCAAACGATATGTTTCGTCAAATGGATTGGATACGTTCCAGCGGTCAGCGTATGTCGCGCTCTCTCGCCCGGAAGCTGGTGAATGTGCTCTCGTCCATCTATCGCTTTAAGCGCTCGGAACTGTTTGAGCACGAGGGCACCTTTGGTGAATATTTGGTGGAGAAGTTTGCCGAGGAGCTATCGAAGCCGGGTCTGAAGCATCTCGATCGTGAGCTGGCCGCCGAATTTTTGCGCACATTCAAGAAAATGGAGGGCAGCGCCGTCGACACGGATATGAGCGCCTCCGGCTACGAGACATATCGCACCTGTCGCGGCGAAAACATGAATTTCCGCGACCGCGGGTAGGGCCAACCTTAGGGTTAACCTAAACCCAACCCAACCTCTAAATCCTCTTATTCCCTTGCAGCTTCAAGCAGTTCCTGCGCGTGCTTCTCGGTGGCGACGAGATGAATGAGCAGGGTCTGCTCAAGGATTGCATTGATCTCAATACGCGCGTTCTGCAAATCGATTGGGATCGTTCCGATGGCACCGTCGAGCTGTCCTGCGAGCAAGACAAGAAATATATTGCGGATCATGTGGTTATCACCGTCTCGCTGGGCGTGCTCAAACGGAATACCACACTCTTTCATCCGTATTTGCCGCAGGCCAAACGCAAGGCCATCAATTTTATGGGTTTCGGTAGCGTGTGCAAGATCTTAGTCGAATTCGGTGAACAATTCTGGCCGGACAACTGGCATGGGTTCAATGCCATGTGGCGGACGGAGGATATGAATCAGCCGCAACTGGAATGGGTCTCGGACATTTATGCCTTTCACGTGTATCCCTATCAGCCCCGGGTGCTGCTCGGCTGGGCGTCGGGCCCCAGCACGGAGGTGATTGAGACCATAGACGGCAAACTGTTGGCCCACGGGATCATGTATATGCTAAAGCGATTTCTGCCCAAGCTGAAGATACCGCATCCCAGCCGCGTGGTTAGCAGCAAATGGAGCATCGATCCGGCACATTTGGGCGCCTATTCGTACCGCTCCCTGTTGACCAACAGCTACAAGACCGGACCGGATCAACTGGCCCAGCCGGTCAATGTGCTGGCCTACGAGCCGTACGGATCGCGCATGTCCTGGGATCACATAGTGCCAATGTCGGTGCGACCAATCCTTCTGTTTGCCGGCGAGGCGACCAGCATTAATCATTATTCCACGGTCCATGGCGCCGTGGAGACGGGCGTCCGCGAGGCTCAACGCCTGACGGGCTACTACCAAAAGGATTTGTAATTTTTCCGTCCATTGGAATTTATATTTTCAATATACAGTTTTTGGAAGTGTGTTCACTGCTCTCTGATTATCTGCGGCTGGAAGTCCAGCTCGGCGGCCTTGCCCAACGACTCGGCGTAGAGCGGCAGTCGCTGCGTCATGCGGAAGCCCCAGAAATCCTTGACCTGGCGGCACAAATTCAGATCCAGCTCGGTTACCAGTAGACCGTCGCGGCAGCGGGACAAGCTCTACATTAAAATGGAGTACGTCGTGTTAGACTGACCCGCAGCAATAAATTCAAAGACTTACCGGAGTCCTGGAGCCATCGGGCGCCGCCACATATGTGGAGCCATAGAAGGGTCCGAACTCCTTGTGCGCCGGCTGACCGTCGCCGGAGGTGTACTCATTGGGAAATGTCTCGCTGCCCACGCGATTTATGGGCACCGTAAAGTAGCTATTCGCAATGGCCGCATTTCGCGCCTCGATCCCCCACAATGGCTCCGAGAGACGTCCGATGGTCGCCGAAGGATTGAACACAATTTCCGCACCATTCACACCGAACATCATCCAGTTCTGCGGATGATGCCGGCCATAGCATATGTTTATGGCCAGCTTGCCGAACTCGGTCTCGAACACGGGATGACCCGTATTGCCCTCCATGTAGTAGGTGGACTCATTGAAGTCGCCCACACGGGGTATGTGATTCTTGCGATGCTTGCCCATATAACGGCCGCTGTTCGAGATGACCACGGCCGTATTCCATATCGTTTCGCCATGCTCCACATCCCTCTCCAGTATTGAGTGTATGATGACCATGTTGTAGGCCTTGGCCAGCTCCGCCAGCATTTTGGTTGTCGGACCGCGTTCCGCCTCCTCTGCGAACTCGCACCAGGGAAACTTTTCGCGCGTGCAGAACGCAAAGGGCATGGCTAGAGGGGAGGGGAAGACATAATCATAAGCAACTCGTGTTTGTGTTTGAGTCCTGCATCGAATCAATCGAAAAGTGTTTCATTCGAGCGAGTTGCGACTCAAATTTGTAGCTCGAACATGTTGCTGACTTGAGTGGGTAGAACTTCTTCATCCATAACCATAAGCAACTCGTGTTATGTTTGAGCCCTGCATCGAGTCAATCGAAACGTGTTTCGGATACTTGAACAATTATTTTGTTCGAGCGAGTCGAGACTCAAACTCGAATCGAACAGGTCGAACTTCTTCAATCTTAACCATAATAAGCTGGTGTTTATGTTTAGTTAGGATTTCAGCCCTGTAGCGAATCAATCGAAAAGTATTTCGTTCGAGCGGGTCGAGACTCATATTTTTAGCTCGAACATGTTGCCGACTCGAGCTCGAACATGTTGCCGACTCGAACAGCTCGAACTCCTTCTGCCTTAAGGTATTCTTCACTCGAACACTGCGTTGCTTGCCTAAATATCCGAGTTTGAAGCTATTGAGCTAACCGATGCAGGGTTCTAGTTGGGGTTGTACTTACTCCATGCCTCCTGGGTGCACACGATGTTGCAGCCGGCCTGTGCCGCGGCCTTGATCATCAGCTTCACCTTGTTCCAAATGCCCTCGCGCTGCTGCTCAATGGGCGCCGTCGTTGGCAGCGCAATGGAGTTTTGGATGGCGCCCACACGCACCAGGCGCGGCTTGCGCAGCTGCTCCTCGCGCGCCCCAAAGCGATAGCCCTTGATCTCAAAGCCATTCTGCTCGGCGATGAGTGTGGCGCTCGCGGGCAGCTTCAGAGTTTGGCTAAGGGATGATTGCAAAAGAGAGAATGGAGTGAGTGGAGCAGAGAGTAAAAGAGCGCAAGAGCGCGAGAGTTCTCTTTGCTTGTATTCGACTTAATTCGTAAACATTGCGCTCGACTCATAGATCTGTTTTTGTTTTGCTCGTCTATTTTGTTGCCTCCAACTTTTGATACCCTTTCAGAGGGTTATGCTGATTCGTCATAGCTTCTGCGCACACATACAAAATAAAATAAATAAATATTCTTGATCAAGCATCAAGAGTGCAGTCCATATATCTGATATAGTTTGTCAATCTGTCTAACTTTTAGTCTGTCTCAGACTAAGGTTTCATACTTGGAATATATATGATTTTAATTTAATATATTCTAGAAAAATCAACCACAACTAATGCAAAATGTATAAAGAAGATAGTTTTGTAGCGTGAAATAATATAAAAATTTCGGAGCACAAGTAAAACATGCCAATCCCTCTCAAACTGAGAATTCTCTCTATATATATTCTAAATATAAATTTAATGTGTTTATTTATTTATTTTTTGATATGGCGTCAATTTAACACATGTTATTGCCACAGATTTCACACTACTCTCCAAATAATGGGACATACTTTTCGGCTTATCTGTGCAGCTGTTAAACTACATTGTATTGCTTATCAGGCAGTTAGCAGCTGACTGTTAAGCTCTGATTAGCATATAACTTGCATATGTGTGTGTGTGTGCTTGTGTCTGTATATATATATATACTTACTCCTGCTCCACGCCATAAAGTATGCGCTTGACCTCTCTTAGCTCCTCCGCTGGCAAATGCTTCTCCAGGCACTCATCCAGATTTTTCAGTTCAAATTTCGACATAGTTTTCGGCGACAATTCAATTGACGTCTATAATGAAGAAGGGCGGGTGGGGGGTGGGGCAGCGGTACGTTTCTCTAGACAAGCGCTCGTCTCTGGGCAACAACCACTCGCGATTAGCGCACGACGCGGAATGTGCATGGCCAATGATCGCGGCGCACGCCGCATTCGCAATCGCTTCCCTCTCCACTCTCCACTCTACTCTCTCCACTATCCGGTCTCTCTTCGCTCATTTGCAATCACCCGGCTGCTGCTGCTTTTGTTACTTTCCTCTCCACTCTACACTCTCTACGCTCTGCTCTCTGCTCTGGGCTGGCGCTCGCGTCGTTTGACCTTCTCTCAATTAGCAATGACGCAGCTGCCGAAGCAGCCGAGCAGCCGCCTCTTTAACCCCCCAAAAGAGGCTGCTGCATGGTTGTTTTATAGCTAAAAGAAATAAATATAGCTATAAACTTGGGTGTGCGGCACAGAGCCCAGTGGCCAGTGAAGGGTTAAGCTCAGCGTAGGCTTTCCCCACATTAAGAAGCTTTCCCACCACCCCTAGGTCATAGGTGTTGTAGAAAATCAAGGCGTTGCCATATAAACTCGAGAGTATTTTAAAATACTTTCTTAAGTCTTAAGTTTCTTAAATTTGGAGAGTTGTTCCTGGGGACCAGAAGAGAATTTTTCGTGATCTCTGTATAATTTGGGAGTTTTCTTTATGCCTAAGTTTGAGGTGTCTGGACATTAGAATCTCAGAGATATGGTAACAATCCGACAGTTAAAATTGGAGAAATTTATAAAGGAAAAATTCTTAAATCTTGTTATGAACATGATGTACTTACCCTCGTTAAAATGTTAAGATTGGATTATTTATTTTGATATACATATGTACAAATATAAAGATTTGCCTCCTCCACTATATTTTGGGCTAGTTTGTTATTTTCTCCATAAGCATACTCTGGCTTATCAACAGAGTTCTCTCGACAGTCGCAAATGTTTTGTCATTTAATGCGAGCAAATGCAAATATTATTCTCTGAGATCATAATTACTTATGCACATACAAATGTGGCGTAAATGGAATCGCTTTTGCATATATCACAGGTTTTCAAGGCGACAACAGTTCTTAACAATTAAAAATTCCACTAAAGATAGAGATAGATAGATAGATAAATAAGTTGATAGATAGATACAAAAAAGTAAAGTTGCTGGTTCGAATCCAATTCATTTCTTAACAATTAAAAATTCAAAATTATACTGAAGATAGAGATAGATGGATAGATCGATAGATAGATAGATAGATAGATAAATAGATAGATATATAGATATATAGATAGATAGATAGATAGATAGATAAATGAATAGATAGAAACAAACAAAAGAGTAAAGTTGCTGGTTCGAATCCAATTCATTTCTTAACAATTAAAAACTCTACTAAAGATAGAGATAGATAGATAGATAGATAGAAAGAAAGAAAGATAGATAGATGGAAACAAAAAAGTAAAGTTGCTGGTTCGAATCCTCGCTGTAAACATAAACTGATGCCTTAAATTCTGGATAATAATACACAGAAAAGTCGAATTGCTGGAATTTGTAACACATTTATAATTTTCTCTTGGTTTGTTTATAAAATTTAAACATTTTATATCTTTAATATATATGGATTTGGTTTTGGACAATCGTTATTCGAGTTAAATAATTGTTGTACAACAGAGTTTTTTTTTGTTCGTTTTTTGTTTTTTGTTTTTGCAATAATTTCGCTTAAATTTGGTTAAATGTTTGTTTAATTAGTTTTGTAATAATTTTATCTCCATTTTCTTTTCGTATTTGATTTTTATTGTATTCTTTTCATTGTTTTCACTTTTACGCAAAAAAGGTACATGTCGTGAAAAGGACTAACGCTGGACAGGAGCGTCCGGCAGGACCGCCTAGGGGTAAATAGTATTTCTCTCTATTTATATATATATATATACGTGTATATCTCTCTCTCTCTCTTTCGCTCTGCGTGCGTTTCTCTCTCTATCTCTTTCTAACTAAATGCCGTGCAACATTGGCAATCAACTGTACAGTTTTTTTTGTTTCTTGTCTCTGGGCCAAGAACAACAAGAAAATTAGTTGGCTAAATTCGTATGGCAAATACTTTGGTGTTGGTTCAACAAATTGCGAGGGGGAGGGGGAGGGGGTGTGGTATTTACTGCACCCACATGGAGGGCGCCCAGAGGGGCTCGTTCTCCAGCCGCTGGACATGCTGAACGAGCTGCTCGAAGGCATTCACCAGCTCCCCGTTAACGATCTGGACATCGAAAAAGTGGCCATAGATGAAATCGATGCGTTCCGCCGACTTGACCATATCCTCGAACTCCTCGTCCGTAAAGCTGCGCGCATTGGCCTCATCGAACGTGGACTTGGCCCTGGCCTCCGTTCGTGTCGCCTTCAGCACGGCCAGCTCCGGCGGCTTGATGTGTATGAGGAATGGCTTCAGCTGGGCCGTGCGCAGCGTCTTGATGGCCTGATAATGCGGACTCAGCACACAGACGCAGCCCGCGTTCACAATCGACTTGACGCTCTCCGCGGAGGTGCCATACAAATGGCCCTTGTACTCGCCGTGCTCGAGAAACTTGCCGGCCTCGATGTCCGCGTCCATTTTGTCGCGTGCCACGAAAATGTATTCACGGCCGGGCACCTCGCCCGTGCGCATCGGCCTGGTGGTATCTGCAAGGGGATTGGGATGTGGATTATTTAGAGATCTGGCAACTAAGCTGGAGGTTCAACTCACATGGCACCGGACTGCGAAACTTGTCCGGATCGCGCGCTATCAGCCGGCGGCGCAGCTCGTTGCGTCCGACGCCGGGCGCTCCGATCAGCACGACGGGACGATAGATGCCGGGCCTCGGATATAGCTTGGCGACCTCCTCGTATGTCGCAATCAGTTCCCGGTCAAAGTCATCGTTCTCTGTTAAATCGTACATGATCTTTTTAGTTTTTGGCTGGCGGCACGAGCTGCTGCTGCTGCTCGTCTGCAGCCGGGGCGAGCCGGGCGGCGTCGTGCAGAGCGAGGCGCATGAACCGGCTGCGACCAGGTGGGAATCGGAGGTGCAACGCAGGCGGAGGCGAAGGCGGAGGAGGAGTTCGAGTTCGTTGTGAAGCGATGATTGGTTTTGATGAGTGAGCAAATGGTTAGAATGAAACGAATGAGTTACATGCGTGGGCAGATTAAAGTCTGTTTGATCCGAATCAATAGAGCTATTCCTGCAATTGTGCGAGGTACAAAAAATTCTTATTTTCTGTACTTAACCTCAAATTGTTGCAGCTGCAGCCCTGGTGTATAAGGGCCTTAGCTGAGGGGGGTTAACGGTTTAACAATTTCGTGTGTCACAATTTTCAGGAACACCTCTATTTAATTTTATGATATATCAAATAATTATTTTAATTTAAATTGGGACAAGGATTTTGAGTAGGTACTCTAGTTTTTTTTTTAAATAATTTTAAATATTATATTTCTCGCGTCACAATTTTGAGGAACACCTCTATTTAATTTAAGATATTTTAAATTTTAATTGGGAAAAGGATTTCGAGTAGGCTTCTTTGGCTCAATATGTGAATGAATGATTCGATGACTCGAAATGATTCGATAGTTGTATTCTATTTTTTTAAGAAATCTCTTCAACTTTTCGAGTTACAATTAATAGGAATACCCTTATTTAATTTTATGATATGATTTCGAGTAGGTTTCCTTGGCGAATGAATGATTCGTGCACACACACACACATTGATTCGATAATTATGAATGATTAAATAGTTGTATACACTTACGCTTGGAGTCCATGTCGTTGCATTCGCGTTGCGTACGCTCGTGTAGGATGCGCCGCTCCTGCAGAGCCCGGCTCGGTATAAGGCCGGCGCGGGCGGAACGCTCGTGATCCTTGCGCGCCTGCCACCAATAGGCATCATCCTGGGCGACAATGTGCAGGACATCGCCGCGCTGAAATGCCAGGCCCGCCTCCTTGCAGGGTATATACGGATCCACATCCGGATTGTAGTCGAAATGGGCGCGCACACGCACCTTGGACTCGCGCTGGGCGCCCTTCGTGTCCGCGGGCACCAGCTTAAAGGTAATGGTGCCCTCCGAGTTTTGCTATGGCAGTGAATGAAATTGAATATGACTGAGTCTTACAGACATGGTTGGGGAGTACGCGAAATAAATACCAGTATGGTGAGCACATCGCCCGGCGTCTTGCCCTCCACATTGATGCTGTTCACCTCGATCACCTCGTCGCCGACATGGATCAGACCCGAGCGATCCGCTGCGCCGCCGTGCATGATTCGTGCTATGATTATTTTGCCCGTCTCCTCGTCCGTTTTTATGGTGGCGCCCTAAAAGTATGCAACACAATTTTCAGCAGAGTTTACAAACGAGTGAGAGATTGAGAGTGTATGTGTGTGCGTGTGTGTGAAGTTGAGACTTTACATGTGTGTGTGTGGAGAGTTGAGGCTGTATATGTGTGTGTGTGTGAAGTTGAGACTTTACATGTGTGTGTGTGTGAGGTTGTGGCTGTTAATGTGTGTGTGTGTGAAGTTGAGGCTTTACATGTGTGTGTGTGGAGAGTTGAGGATTTACATGTGTGTATGTGTGTGGGACTGAGGCTGTACGTGTGTGTGTGTGTGAAGTTGAGACTTTACATGTGTGTGTGTGTGAAGTTGAGACTTTACTTGTGTGTGTGTGTGTGGGAGTTGAGGCTTTACATGTGTGTGTGTGTGAGGTTGAGGCCTTACATGTGTGTGTGTGTGTGTGGGTGAAGTTGAGACTTTACATGTGTGTGTGTGTGTGGGACTGAGGCTGTACATGTGTGTGTGTAGGAGTTGAGGCTTTACATGTGTGTGTGTGTGTGAGGTTGGGGCTTTACATGTGTGTGTTTGTATGTTTCTGGGTTTCTCTTGATATTTTACAAGGAAAAAGAAAAGATTCAACAAATTGTTTTTTATACAACAGTTGTTTTGGGGCTTGTTGTTTTTGTTGTTATTGTTATTGTTATTGTTATTGTTGTTGTTGTTCTTGTTGTTGTTGTTGTTGGGGTGCCATGTTACACTTATGTCTTATTGAATGCTTGAACTATACAAATAAGCACTTTGTTTTTTACTTACAACAATCGGCTCCGCACTTTGTGCTCCTGTCTGTGTTTTATGTTTTATTTATATACATTTTTTTTAGTGAGCGAATTTTTGGAAATTATTGTTTTCGATTTTGTTCGATATTTGGTTACAAAAGCAAAAATTTACAATAAAATTTGTTAGCATTGAGACGAAAGTATTTGAAGGGGAAATGCGTTTAGGTTTAGAAATGAATGAATTTAGCTGCTTGGCTTTATGGACACAAAAGCAGAGGACACTGAGAGAGAGAGAGAGAGACTCGTGAGAAATGGCGGGTAAAATTATGAGAAATGAGCGCCTGAGTTGAGACAGTTATAGCACACTCTATATAGATGCGATATTGATCGATGCAAATGACAGGTGACACAAATGGGCATGAGTCGCAAAGCGTTGCGAGTTCGAGTTCAAACTCACCAGTGGCTCGTTGCTCTTGACGAGCTGCACAATCTTGATGGTCTCCTCGTCCTCGTCCATTTCGATGGGCACCTCCGGCAGATGCGGATAGAAGTCCTTCTGCGCAATGGCATCGTGTGCAAAGAGCAGGTGCTGCGGCAGATGAATTCCATTTAGTTGCAGTTCTTTTTTAATTTTCACCCCTCTTTCTCACCTGCACGTGGGAGTCCTGCAGCAGGTGAAATGCCTCCTTGCAGTCATCGCTTAGATGACAGCGCTGCGACAGCTGCTCGAGCACCTCGTACAGCACCTGGGCCGAGGTGGACAGCACGGGCGCGAGACGCTCATCGCGGCCCACCTTGGCCACCTTTGTGTGCACATTGACCAACGCATTCAGCTCCTTCGATTCCAGCAGGGCCTTCAGAAAGTCTATCTCCTGATCATTGGACAAATTGTCCGATTCCTTTAACGTCGTTATCAGCCTTGAAAGCGCTGCAATCGCAAAGGTTTAGAGAGGGCAGAGAGAGAGTTGTGGGCGGGGCTCACCTGGATCCCAATTGATATCTGATGCCATAACTGTAGCTAGCATGCCACAAACACGCACAAACTCGCAGCTACACTTGCTCCCTTAGACTTCTTTGGCACTGTATAACTGTAAAGGGAGAAATATATGAGTATTAGGCAAAAATATTGGCGCCCGAGCAGGGACTCTTCAGCAAAAAAGTCCCTGCTCGGGCGCCAGCAAAAAAGTCCCAGCTCGGGCGCCAGCAAAGAAGTCCCTGCTCGGGCGCCCGTATTTTCTGCAATCTAATGATTGAGGGATATAATGTAAGGTATTTTAATTAAGAAGAATCTATATATTATTTATGAATTTGGTTACATTATTGAATGAAAAGAAAGACTGGTCGAGCAGGGACTCTTCAGCATATATTTAACAACTGCTTTATGTTAAATAGGAGACTTAAAATATGTAAATGTCATTTCTTATAAGTTCAGCTTATTTGTTGGGAAAAAATGTTTAAATAAGTTCCTGCTCGGTCGCCAGTATTTTTTACATTATAATGAATAAGGGATAAACAAAGGTCTTTTAAGTAACAAGAATCTGTAGAAATGGGTCGCAAAGAAAACTTATTTCTTATTCATGAATGTGGTTACATTATTGACATCCTTGTGTTCATCTTAATACACTTAACAGTTTATTTGATTGCCGTCTGGGACTTTTACTATAAATTAGGAATATATCATAACTAGCTCCATAAAGATATGAGTGTATGCTTGCAAATTGTCAGCAGACAGAAGAAGAAGCTGTCATTGAAGAGAAGCAGTTCGAATAAATAACTGCCTTTATATGCCGCCCCCCAACAGTTTTTTAAATAACCAAAATCGATACTCAATTTGAAAGAAACTTATGTAAATTTGGCCATAAACAGGACACAGTATATAAAGTCAGAGCAGACAAAAGAAAATGCTGATGCGTGCGAAAAGTCAATTTTGCACAGCTGGCAAAGGGAAGCCAAGGAGGACCTCGCTCCTCATGGAACTGCCCCCCAAGTCAGACAAAGAATTTTGGCAACGGGTCGTATGTGTAATGCGTGCTCTTGTTAGAAATTTCAGCCTCAGCTGGCGTCTGGCTGTCGCACAAACAAGCCGAACCCAAACCCGGCTTCTTTTGTCGCAGCAAATGCAATTAGCTGCCATTAAGCCGGTTCCAACTGGGCTGCGCTCCACTTGCCGCTGATTTATGGGGCGGGGGATTGTCGCAATTTATGGCCATTTTCATTGTGACTGAACTTAGTCTGTTTTGAGTGGAAAGCTGGCGCCGTCCTCGCCATAAATAAGCCCAAGAACTGGAAATGGAACTGGAAATGGAACTTGGCTTCTGTAGAAAAAACAAACACAAACATTGCTGCAGTGCATACATTAAATGTTCAATGGCTGCGCTGCCTTCCTGTTGCTTGTCCTTTCGCCTTTCGCCTTTGTTTATTCAGCTGGAAAACAAGTTCTGCGCCTGGACAGCTGCCAAGTTGTCCGGCACAAAAGTTCACTAACACTTTGTGTCCATAATGGGGCCTAAACTCTTTTGCTATTGTTAGCTGCTGCCACTCGTTAACACTTTACGGCCAAATGACCAAAGGACCTGACCTGCCGAGCAGCAGCAGCCCAGCTGGACTGTATTGCTTGCAAAGTGTGCTCAGTTTTTTACGCAGCATTACATGACAAAATGCTGATAATAGCAGCGATTATTCGGCTGTTCATGAGCTGCAAACTTTTAACCCTACAAAGTGGGGCAACAAGAATGTGTTCATATAATCTTGTAGATATTTTGTACGAGTTACTGGCAGATCCATTTGGGATGTTTTAGATGGCGATAGTTTCATGAGCTGCAGGTTTTTGTCCTTACAAAGTAGTGAAAAAAGAATGTGTTCATAATTTCATATAGATATTTAATACAAGTTACTCGCAGATCCATTTGGGATGTTTGAAACAGAGATAGTTTCTTGAGCTGCAGGCTTTCGCCCTGCTAACGTAGTGAGAAAAGAATGTGTTCATAATTTTATTGGAAATATTTCATACAAGTTAATCGCAGATCACTTTAGGATGCTTGAAAAGAGATAGTTTCATGAGTTGCAGGCTTTTGCCCTGCTATAGTAGTGAAAAAAGAATGTGTTCATAATTTCTTGTAGATATTTCGTACAATTTACTCGCAGATCCATTTGGGATGCTTGAAACAGCGATAGTTTCATGTGCTGCAGGTTTTTGTCCTTACAAAGTAGTGAAAAAAGAATGTGTTCATAATTTCTTGTAAATATTTTGTACAATTTACTCGCAGTTCCATTTAGGAGGCTTTAAATGGCGATAGTTTCATGATCTGCAGGTTTTTGTCCTTACAAAGTGGGGCAAAAAGAATGTACTCATATATTCTTATAGATATTTCGTACAATTTACTCGCAGATCCATTAGGGATGCGATAGTTTCGTGACCTGCAGATTTTTGCCCTGCTAAAGTAGTGAAAAAAGAATGTGTTCATATATTCTCGTATACATTCGATACAAGTTGCCGGCAGATCCATTTGGGATGCTAAAAAGGTCGATAGTTTCTTGAGCTGCAGGCTTTTGCCCTGCTAAAGTAGTGAAAATAGAATGTGTTCATCATTTCTTGTAGATATTTTTGGCCTACAGTTTGTACATACATTTAGGCTCAGGCTGCCAAGGATTGGCGCCAGGTGTCATAAATAGCTGTTGCCATGCGGATGAACCTTAAATGACATTCGCATGCTACAACTTTTGAGGAATACGAATTCGCGGCACGAATAAAAGTAATCAATTATCTGCGCCTGTTATGTTTTGTATTCTGTTTTTGCCCTTGACAGTGGGCAGATTTTCCGAGTGGACACAGTTGAGGGACAGACCCTTATCGCTGCTCCAGCTGCTCAGCTGCATCTATCTTTAAATGACCTTGAACTATATAGTACAATATGTCAAAGGTGGCCCAAAACAACATACTACTACAGCTGACTCTCTGTCAGGGTTACAATGCAACGACGTCAGCAGCGTGGGTGGCTGGGTGAGAGGATGAGAGGGTGAGGGGGTGGCTAGGTGGTTGTGGGGTCATCCATTATTCTTAATGGATGTAAACTCTCAGCTAAACGAACGGAATTGTAATGAGTGCACACCAATTGGAAATTTGCATAATCGAAAACTATCACAATTTGCATAATAGTTCATAAGAGAGATATGAAAATGGGTAGCTAAAATGAATTTATTATGAAATCCAGCTCAATAAGTCTTAAAAAAAGATTTAAAATGGGGCAGTAGGATTACAAATCCCTCAAAAATCTTAGCATGAAAGCAAATTGGTAGAAAAAGGAATACGAATTGGTCTAAAAATGCGTAAAATAAGGCAGTAAATCTTGAATTTGGAATGCAAATGCCTTCAACAAGCGCAAAGTTCTCGAACTAAGCATACAAATCGTTATATCAATACTTGAAATAAGTATGCATGTTCTTGAATTAAGTAAACAAATCGGTCTACAAATTCTGCTATGCTGCTTAATAGTCAATCGTTGTCTAGAAATCTGAGATGTAGCTCTACTTTTTTTTCTACTATAATAGTTAAGTTAGTTAGTTAGCGATACTTGAACTAAGAGCAATATTCTTGATTTAAGCATACAAATTAGTCTACAAATTCTCTCTTTAATAGTCGATCTAAAATTTGCAGCTCAACTTTTTTCCACTATAAAAGTTAAGAGCTGCGGTAATATTCTCTTTATGTTTTTGTTTTTCAAGTGTTGTAAAATGACGCTGTCTATCAATTTGTCATATGATAACACCAAATACATATGTGTGTGTCAGTGTGTGTGTGTGTGTGTGTGTTGAGCCGCAATTACGCTAATTGCAAGTGCGGCGGCAGAGGACTTGAGACCATGCGAAGTGCGTGTTTGCCTTCTTATATATGCGCTTCTCGTTGTTGTTGTTGTTGTTGTGCATAACGATACGTGTCAATGGGCGCAGAAAGGAAGCCCATAAGATAGGACAGGTAACACAATATGGGGGAGAGCGAGCGATAGGTAGCGCAGCCCAGACAGGGGGTTGAAAAATCACAACAAAAAAAAACAAATATCGCAGATTAGATCGCCTGCAGTTCGCAAGAACAAGTTATTACAGTAAAATGAAGATATTGCAGCTCGCAAAATCTGGCAACGCTGCCAGCAGCGCAGCGCGTGAGAGTGAGCGCGTGTAAAGAGCGCGCGTGTGTGAATGTAAGAGAGCGCGTTTATGTCTGTGTGTGCGTGTGTGTGAGTGTAAGAGAGCGCAGCAACATATTCGAAAAATTTTCATTTGCGATTTTTAATTAACATTGAAAGTAAAACTGCGCGCAGCAGCTTACCTGAGATCAAATGGAAACACGCTCAGTGGCCGTTGTTGTTGTTGTTGCTGTTGCTGTTGTAGTTGTTTACGGTTATGTTGCATATGCCTAATGTTTTTTTATTTAGGTTTCTTTGCTCGGCGACAAAGTTGACAAAAGTTTTTGCAGCTTTTGCCGTTTGGCGTTTGTTTTATTTTTAAACAGTTTTCCACTTGGCGCACACACAGACAACCGCACACGCGCTATATATATATGTGTGTGTGTGCGTGAATATATGTGTAAAATTTGTAGCTCAGTTTTTGTTGCTATTTTTAGTTAGTTCCACAAGGATTTCGATTGTATTTGATTTGTTATTATTGAACCTGAGCTGAACCTGCCGTGTGGCGTGCTGCAAGTGCGGCTGCAGCTCGTGCAACTAAACTGAAAGCGACGGCGGCAGCGCGTGCGAGCGAGCGAGAGAGCGTGTGTGTGTGCGAGAGAGAGAGAGTGAGAGAGCGCGCGCTGTCAATGTTCACGATGAGCGACTGCAGCGAGCGACTGACTCGAACTGTGGCCAAGTCGCCAGGCTAACTGTCTGGCTGCCCCATTCAGAAAAAAAGCACTCACAGACACACGTACACACACACACAAGCACACACACACACACAACCACCACCAACAGCGGCGGCGGCAGCAGCGCCCGAGCAGGGTGGAAAGTGCGCATGTCAGCAAAACGCGCGAGCATAATCAAAAATACAGGGTGTCCTATTACGCGTTCGTTTTATTTGATAAACACATTATTATTATTTTTTAAAAATAATATTTAATATTTTTAAAAACACATAAGCACTCCGCGCAATCAAAAATACAGGGTGTCCCATTACGCTTTCGTTTTATTTAATTAATTTAATTAATTTGTATTAATATATTTAATTCTTAATAATATTTAATATTTTTACAAGCACATAAGCTTAACACTCCGCACAATCAAAAATACAGGGTGTCCCATTACGCTCTGGTTTTATTTGATAAACACATAAACTTAACATAAATTTAACATAAACTTAACATTTCAATTTTAAGTTTTTTTTGATAAACACATAGCCTTAACATAAATTTAACATAAGTTTAACAGTTCAATTTTAACCAAGTAACGCAGCGCCGCCCGCACCGCCCAGCACGCCGGCACCACCAAAGCCGCCGACCACCTTCTTGTCGTAGCGTGCGCGAAAGCCGCCGCCGCCAAAGCCACCGCCCAGGCCATGTCCCAGGCCGCCTTTAAAGCCGCCGCCGCCGAAGGCACGCCCCCTAATGCGATAGCTCTCGCGATAGCTGCCAAAGCCGCCGCCAAAACCGGCACCGCCGCCCACCAGTCCGCCCAGGCCAAGCGCCTGCGGCTGCGGCTGCTGCTGTACTATGATGGGCACCTGCTGCACAATTGGCACCTGTTGCTGCACCACCGGCAACTGCTGCAGTCCAATCTCCAGGGCGTGCGCTGCCAGCGCAGCAGCACAGATCAGCAGCACTTGTAGATAGCAACGCATCTTAGTCTCGAGTCCGAGTTGAGCACGTTGTCTGACGCCGGCGGCGCAGGCCTCCGCGTTTTTATGCGGCTTGGTGAGGTGCGTCATGCAGCAGATCTCCCAAAAAAATCCCGCCACTTATGTTGTGTTTGTACACGCATTAACTAAGGCGTCGCCATGCACGTGGCCGGGGCTGACCTTCACTCAGTTGTGATAGCTGTTGATCAGGTGTGAACTGTACACGGGGAAAAATATTTCAATTTCTTAACGTCTACAAATTCCGCCCGCATGTGTGGAAAAATCGCGAAAAACGTTTGCTTGCAACTTTTTTGATTATCATCCGATCGGCCTCAAGCTCATTTTCAAAGATCTTTGTCAAAATTCATCTGATGTGTGTTTCACACTTTTCGAAAAATCCCTTCCTCCTTGGTGGAAATGGGAGTCAAAGATTTAATGGGTGACGTGTTTCACACTTATCTCGGTGGGAAATGCGATTCAAATATTGTTTGGCCGAAGTCTTAAGCTTAGTCCGATTTGCTTCAAACTTATTTACAAAGCTCTAGAGAAGAACTTAATGATTCCACCTTAATTCCACCGGTAATAGTGGTAAATTGCCGAAAAGCGGTTTTATGAAAGTTTTTTGTTTACCGTTCGATCGGGTTTGAAATCATTTTCAATGAACATTGAGAGAACTTATTTTATACGTGCCACTGGCAAGGCCGGGGTATACGGAGTAAACTAAATACGAGATTTTTCTCAGTGTAAGATGGGCAACACATTTACTTGGGGAATTTTGGGGTCCTACGATTTGTGAATTGTTAGCGCAAACAGGCCAAATGCTAAGGCTGAGCCACAAACAGACGTGGCCCACTAATTAATTTGCATAAATAACCCGACTTGGGTTGGGGCCAAATCAGTAGCTGATCCCACGATGCGACGACAAACCGTTTACACGCTGATCTTGGCAATCTCTCTCTTCAACCTGTTGGCGGCAACCACGCCCATTGCGAGCAATGAACTTGTGCGCAAGACGCGCCACATTGGCGGCGGCGGCGGCGGCGGCTTTGTGGGCGGCGGCTTTGTGGGCGGCGGCTTGGTGGGCGGCGGCGGTGGCTACGTTGCAGCACCTGCCATCCAAACGTTGCCCGTGATAAGCACGGTGCCTGTTATCACCACGGTGCCTGTGATCTCCACCATTTCGACAGTCCAAACGATTCCCAGCTTTGGCTACGGAGGGGGATACGGCGGGGGATACGGAGGTGGCTACGGAGGGGGTTACGGAGGTGGCTACGGAGGTGGCCTCGGTGGAGGCAGCTTTGTGGGCGGCGGCATTGGCTTTGCCAAGTTCAAAGGATTCGGCTTTGGCGGCGGCTTTTTGGGCTGAATAAAAACTCAAGTGTAAACAATCGATGAACAAAAGTGTTTCGAATTGTGCATAAATATCTGTATATAAGTAGATCAGCATATATATATATATATATATATGTATGTGTGAATATTTGACTTGATGATGCTGCAGTTTCTTTGCGTTTGCCTTTGTCCGAGTTTCATTTTACATTTTGTGCGCTATTTGTTTGCTTATTTTGTCATAACTCGAGCTAAATAAAAATAAACAAATAGCTGCTCTTTTATGTGCAGTCTCCAAGTGCTTTTTGTGAAAAGATTAGCGACAGCTGTGCTTAAGAGCGAGCCGTGAATTTCAATTAGACGAGAGTAGACGCCAGTTTCCAATTTCGTTTTAGAGTGAATTGGCGCGTGGAATATGAGCGGATTTGATAAGAGTGTGTTTGAAAATTTAATATTAAAGATATATGTGCGGGTTTATAGATGGGTAGCTAACTAAAATATGGTTATCTATAGATAATTGTTGCCCATTCAGCTTTTTTCTAGCCAAGTCAGGCTATTCTCAGAGATTCTCAGCTGTAAACAGTTAAAATGTATACTGATTTAGCCTTTTTCTTGGGCATTTCCTGTTTCTTTTCTAAATAATTTGTGGTCAGAAAATGAATTCAGTTTTTTAAAGCTATGTTTAACATTGGATTCAGCTATTTTGGTTGCCCATTCAGCTGTTTTCTAGCCAAGTCAGGCTATTCTCAGAGATCCTCAGCTGTAAACAGTTAAAATGTATACTGATTTAGCCTTTTGGCCTTGGGCATCTTCTGTTTGTTGTCTTGCTCAGAAAATTAATTCAGCTATTTTTAACATTGGATTTAGTTAATTGTTGTAAATTCAGCTATTTTCTAGCCAAGTCAGGGTATGCTCAGAGATCCTCAGCTGTAAACAGCTAAAATTTTAAACCTATTTAGCCTTTTTCTTGGGCACCTCCTGTTTGTTTTCTTGCTCTCAAAATTTATTCAGCTTTTTTAAAGCTATTTTTAACGTTGGATTCAGCTATTTTGGTTAAATAACTTAAAGATAGCTATCTATAGACAATTGTTGCCCATTTAGCTGTTTTCTAGCCAAGTCTGGCTATTCTCAGATGTACTCAGTTGGAAATAGTTGAAATTGTAAGCCCATTTAGCCTTTTTCTTAGACATCTGTTTGTTTCCTTGCTAATTTGTGTTAAGAAAATTAGTTCAGCTATATTTGGCTATTTTTAACATTGGCTTTAGCTATTTTCATTAATGCTGTAGGTCTCCATTCCACTGTGCCTGTCCGCATCCATCAACAGCACTTTGTGCCCGCCCGAAGATTGGTTCAATTTCAAGTAAACAACTTAAGCACTCGCTATTTTGCTCTCAACAATAATTAGTTTTGGCTTTTGTGGTGCGGCAGAATAATTGTTAAAAAAAAGAAGAAATATAAAAAACCTTTCAATGACAATCGAAAAATGCCATTGAACCCCCGCTTTGTATAGCTCCAAGCCAACAAATATTTGGCTATAAATTAAAGCGCCGCTGGCTGCGCAGGTTTATTCGGTTCTGGCTGTGAATACAATGGAATACGCAAAGATTTGCCTAATGCTCTGCATCTGTGTGGTGCTCTGCCGCGCGGAGCCGGAGCAGCTGGAGCTGGAGGAGTCAAAGGCGTTGCCCGCGGATCTGCTGGCTGCCGTGGACAATGCGCAGGCGGATGCGAGTCCCGATGCAGTTGCTCCTGTGGAGCAGGGCGCACGCAAGGTGCGCCAGTACTTTGGTCCACCGCCGCCGCCCTTCTTCGGTCCACCGCCGCCGCCCTACTTTGGCGGCTTTGGCGGCGGCTACGGTGGCGGCTACGGCGGCTACGGCTTTGGCGGCGGCTATCAGCGCACGCGGATTGTCACGCGCACCCGTGTCCGTGGCGGCTACGGCGGTTTTGGTGGCGGCTTTGGCGGCTTCGGCGGCGGCGGCGGCTACTATGGCTAAAAGTTTGCCATTTCTTTTGGCTGTTGATTATAATTTGTGATATTCCCATTGTGCGGCACAGCAATAAATGTGTGATTTTATGTTTGTTTGAGCAACTGATGTGTGTTTTTATACCCTGTACATGTAAGAAAGTGGCCAAAAGGCGTTCGAATTGCTGCAAATTTATGTAACAGGCAACAGAAGGCATCTCAGAGCCCATTTACTGTATATTATATTTGAAATGAGACTAAAATTTCTTGAATGATCGATAACTGATAGATAACTGACCAATAACTGATCGATAACTGATCGATAACCGATCGATATCCTCACTTATCCAAAAACGAGCAATATCAGCTTGGAGCTTCAGCTTTTTAAGCATGACTTGAAGATTATAAGGGCTCAGGCATTTTCTGTATGTGTATACAGAAGTACCTACAGAGTATGTTGGCTATAGGGTAGCTCCTAGTCGATCTCACTGTCCACTTTATATATATATATATATATATATATATATATATCAATAAATAAATATATAGAACAGTGCAAAAGACTACATTTTACAGTCAATTTCTTATATGATCGATGACTGACCGATAACTGATCGATAACTGATCGATAACTAATCGATAACTGATATATACCAAATCGATAACTGATCGATAACTGGTCGATAACTGATGGATAACTAATCGATAACCTCCCTTTCCTAAAATCGATAATTATCGGCTTCGACCTGCGGCTTTTTAAGCATTATTGGAAGATTATTAAGGCTTAAGCAGATAATAATGATTGCAAAGGTAAATGCAAAGGTACATACAAAGCCAGGCTGGCTACAGGGTATCTCCTAGTCGGTCCCGCACACTTATTATGCACGGTTTAGCATCGTTGGGCAGAGGAGTGGCCGCGTTTTATGATGTGGAAAGTGGTCAAGTGGCCATCTCAGAGTTGTGCTTATAAATGATTTCGACTTGGCTCAGTTTTGATTTGGGCTCAAAATGTTGCGTGTGATTTGCCTATTGCTGCTGCTGCTGTGGGGCCTAGTCTCCGCCTTGGACGAGCTGGAGTACGATGCGCAGGTGGGACCGCCAGCTCCGGGTAGGCCTTAAAGTTGCCCAGTTAACTTTGCAGCTAAATACATCCCATTTGCAGCACACAAACCCTCGCTGAATCTGTGGCGCGGCTTTGTGGGTCAGGTGCGTGAGGTCATCAGCCACTGGCGCGCTCCACCTGCCGCCGCCACTAGCAGCACCACCAGGCGGCCACGCCCACATCTGCGCAGCACTACGCCTGCGATCGAGTCGGATTCGGAGCTGCAATTCTACGGCGCCTTGAATCCCATTTTTCAAACACAAAACTTTTGAGTTTTTCAATTAAAACTATAATTTGTTTACGCGAAATAAAAATACACTTAAGCCTAGGCATTAGAAATGCTTGTTGAAGAGTCCCTTGAAGCCGCCGAGGCCGCCGCCGAAGCCGTGTCCGCCAAAGCCGCCGCCAAAGCCGTGTCCGCCAAAGCCATGGCCCAGTCCCAGGCCGCCGAAACCGCTAAATTTGCCGCCCAGGCCGCCGCCGCCGCCAAAGCCGCCCAGGCCCAGGCCGCGTGCCACACGAACGCTCTCCGCCTCCGCCTCCGGCTGCTGCCCCACATCCAAATCCACATCCAGCAGGCTTAGAGGCACAGGCTCCTCCAGCTCCACAGGCGCTGCCAAGCTGCCGCTCAGGGCCAGCAGCAGCAGGAGAAGAAGACTCAGCACGGTAAACTTCATATTTGGCTTTGGTTTTGGTTTTAGTTTTAGCTGTTGGCCGATTTGTACTTGATCTGCAAATGCGAAAGATTCATGCCTATATATAGAGGGACACATTGCTTCTTCTCTGCCATCTTCTCTGCTCTGGGCGCGGCTCGTGCGTTTAGCTGCTAATTGCGTGTGTCCACAATTTGCTTTACTTTACTTGTTGCGTTTTCATACCAAAAAATGTGCTTTCATTCATTGATTTTTTTGACTGATTATACGCTGTTCTCCGGGTAAGGAGAGTATATCGAGTGCGTGTAATGTTCGATTGTACACTGAGCAAAATTTGGCACTACTTAATTTAGAAAGTGTAACAAATTCGATAAACAATCTTAATTACAATTTCAATTTTTTTGAATTTGTCCAGAAATTATAAATGGAATTATTCAATTATTTTTGAGTACAATTTTATTTAACGTAAATTTTGATGGTTCGAAATTCAAGTCTTGGGTGCATAATATATAGAAAGTGTAACAAATTAGTCAAATTTTATTAATCCAATTTGAATTTATAATAAATTAATCGGTTTTTCAGATTTGTCCAGAAACTATAAACCAAATTTGAAGCTTGATACCTTTTATTTTTGAGCAAAATTCTATTAACAGTAAATTTTGATGGTTCGAAATTCAAATTTCTTACTTAGACTTTATCAATTTATCATATATAAATGAAATTCATTATTTTGAAATAATACAAATTCGGTTAATTATCTTAATCCAATTATAATTACCAAAAAATTAAACGATTTTTCAAAAGTGTCTAGAAATTATAAGCGGAATTATTCGTTTATTGCAAACTGAAGCATTTTATTTTCGAGTACTTGGACTTATTAAATTGATCATAAATAAATTATATTTATTAATTTTAAAGTAATACATTTAAATAGCATAAAAATGCATTTATTTATTCTTATAATCATAAATTTCTTAATTTTCTTTCCAGAAAAATTGGACTTTAAATGTTGTTTAATACTTAAAACTTCTGATCTTCTGCTGATTATAATAAGAAACACTATTTACGCTGTTGCTTAACACTGGAAACAGCGCATCTCGCAGTCGGTAAGTGCATCGTTTTCTTTTCATTTTGAACCAAAGTTCGATTGGGTTGGGTTAGCTTCTGGCTCTGGCTCTGGCTGTGGCTCTCTGGGTCTGGCTGGGTCTGGCTGGGTCTGGCTGGGTCTAGAGTTTGCTTAGGTCTTTAGCTGCTAGTTACATCATGTTTGCCGTTGTCTTTACCGCCTGCTCGTGGCCAGATCTGGTCTTGAAACGTAATCCAATTGACCTTAGCAGCAGATGTCTTTTATTTGACTATCGATTTGCTAAATAAACCAGATAAAGCTTATCAGCAACAAATAGTTATAGTCATATATATGTTATAGCTGTCATAGAAGCTGTCATATAGCTCTATAGATAAGTCGGATAGAGAAGAGGGGCTTATGTCTGCTGCACTTATAGAACTTGTTTGTTGCGTCTTATTACCTGCTCCCGCCTCCTGTTTTCGCTGCAGTTCCTCAGTTGGTGGCACGTTTAAAAATAAAGCGTGTTTTTAGACGATTCGATTTTTTGTTGATTTTTTGTACGGCCTGTCGCAATACTTTATTGTGCTAATTGGCAGTTGATTTGCCTAACATCTAGTTTGGCGCAGCAGCAGACGCTTGCGCACATACTTTTTGTAGCTCTTCTTCTTGTTGTTGTTGTTGTTGTGGAACTTGTTGTTGCCCCACCAGCGACGCCTGTGCTTGCCCAGCTGTGGCAGCTCGGCGGCCTCTGGCTGGCTGATGCGCGGCCTGCGCACCGTGTCCTGGACAAAGGGGCGCGACCAGACGACCGGATCCAGGCTGGCATCGTAGCTGGCGTCGTTGTTGTTGTGGCGCCACCAGGGCATTGCCTCGCCCTGTTGCAGCAGCATTTGCAACAGCAACAGCAGCAACAGCCACAGACAGCTGCCAGTGTAATTAATTCCACCAAATGCACAGCGCATTTCGTTGTGTCCCACTTGCGTCGCGTCTAAATTAGAAACTGTTGCACTTGGCCTGCCGTGCATCGCGTCTTATATGGCCTGCTCGGGTCTGCCTGGGTCTGCCTGGGATTGCCCTCATGGCTCAGCTCTGGGCAAATGCAACAATATCTTCAACAAATAGACCAAAAACCTTTTGCATGCTTCACATGGCTTTAAGAGCATTTACAGATTATCTGTGCCATACCTGCCTCACACACACGCACACTCACACACGCACACACACACACAGTCGTGTATGAGTTAAAAATGTTGCGCAGGTCAACAACAAAAATTGTGTGTTTCAGTTTTCAATTCTTTTCAATTCAATGCGCATACAACAGCAAAAGTATTGTCAATCATAAGTGTAAGACAATCAGATCTCGAATTCAATTACAAATAACTAGAAGAAATTAAGCGGCGTTGCGCGGTTTGAATTTATTGGAGTTGAACTAGCGACTCGCGACTCGCATATCATAAATTCTTTTCAAAATTAGAAGAAATTACATGGCTTTGCCCTGTTTAAGTTCATTGGAGTTGAACCAGCGACGTTTCGTTTGTTAGTTCAACGCTCAAATGTCTCATAGGAATAATTAATTGTGTAGTTTCTATTATAAGAAACTAAAAGAAATTACGCGGCGTCGCTCGGTTCAATTAAATTGATTGGAGTTGAACCAGCGACTTTTCGCTTGTTGTTCTAAAGCTCGAATAAGCCTTACTAATAGTGTTGAGAAACTTAAATTCTATTAATAAGAAGCTAAAAGTACGCGGCGTAGCCCGGTTCAAATAAATTAATAAATTGGAGTTGAGCCAGCGACTTATCGCTTGTTGTTACAATGCTTATGCTTATAAGTTAAATGATTCATTTTCGATTCAGCCGATTCCAATGTCGTGATATGTCTGATAAAGGGTCTGTAAAATTTATGGAATCTCCTACTATGCGTCACACATTTCCTCCAGCCGGGTAATATTGTCCTTAAACTATCTGATATAGGCCTCAGAAAATTCAGGAATGGTTGTACTTTTAGTCCTTTATTTAAATCGAATGGCTTTAAACACATTTTTAAAGAGCATTTCCACTTTCTGGCCGTTCTCTACCCTTTAAGCGCATACCCTACCTAAACTCAGATTCAGGTAGTCAGCGCACAATTCTTATCCGTGAATATCTTATCGACGGGCTACACTGAGACCCAATTGAGTTTCGCAATGGGCCTCTTTATGTTTTTGTTGCCGCTAATGTTTCCGTGTAAAACAACATGTGTCATTGTGAGCCGACGAACAATGGGACCCTAAATTTCACTTTCGAAACGTGGTCGTAGTCGACGGTAATTGCCGTTCGTGAAAGAGCCAATTGCCAAGTGACTAACAAATTGCTGCCACTACAGTTGACATAGGTACACTATGTGTGTGTGTGTGTGTGTGCACAACTCTTTCGGGTTAGCTGCATCGAGTGGCTCGGTCAACACTTGAGCTTGAAAGACTCGACTTAACCGATTCGACTCGCCTCTGCCTTGCACTTGACACCGACTCCGTCTCCGACGCCGACTCGGACTCCGCCTGGCAGCGCAATTAGCGACTTTGGCCTTTTCGGATGACTGTGAAATATGCGCAAGTAGAGAAACCAGTTAACGACAGCACGAGGGCAGCAGTGGCAGTTTTCTGCCAAATCCCAAGTCCAAGTCCCAGTTAGCCCACTTTCGACTAACAGCAATTGACACTGCCCCGTTGCAGCAGCAACAACTGTGTGGCATGTGTGGCACGACGCGGCAAAAGTGGCACAGCAAACGGTTGCATAAAAGCAGCAGCTGGCCACAGTTGCGGCCACAGTACGCGAACGAAGTTCTTGACAAGATGTGCCACAAATTTACACTGCTGCTGCTGCTGCTCGGGCTGTGCCTCATCCTGGCCAGCGCCGTGGCGCAGCAGGCGCGTCTGCGCCTGCCCCCAAGCTACAATATGCGGCTCGGCGCGTTGCCCACGCGCTTTGTGGGCAAAGGTGCCTATACGCTGTCCGCCAAGCGGGCGGCGACGCCGGCCAAGTGGCAGCAACCGTTGTTGCAACAGCAGCAACAACAACAACTGCAACAACAACAACAACTGCAGCAGCAACAACAGCAGCGCATGAAGCTCTTCCAGTGGGCCACAATGGGCGGCAAAAAGTACAATTAATGTTCGTGCAATATATATTTAGCTAAATAAATAAAATAAATAATTTATGCAAATTCTTGCAAATAAATTAGAGTACAATAAAAGGGAAGCCCTAAAAGCCGGGCGCATAGCTGCGCATTTTCATGCGCTCCAGCAGCCCGTTGCCGCCATCCAAGCCTCCGGCCATGCCTCCAAAGTAGCCGGGCAGCGGCCCGGCAGCCACCTGGCCATAGAGTCCTCCAGCCTGTTGCATGTTGAAGATGTTGTTCAGCGCCGCAAAGTTGTCCAGCGTGGGTTGGGGGCCAAAGCCGGCGCCCAGCTGTGGATTCGCGTACAAGGGATTGCCGTACATGAAGCCAGCTGTGGGTACGCCTACTCCAAAGCCAGCTGTGGGTGAGCCTACTCCAAAGCCAGCTGTGGGTGCGCCTAGGCCGAAGCCAGCTGTGGGTGCGCCCAGGCCGAAGCCTGGGTTGCCGCCAGCGCCTGCGCCCAGTCCGAAGCCCATGCCGGGCTCGCCCGGATAGCCGCTGGCAATGCTCGTCTGCAGCCCAGCTCCAGGCAGTCCGTTCAAGCCCAGGAATGGCATCATGCCGGCCTGATAGCCGGGATATTGTGCCAGCTGCATGTTGATGCCTCCGCCTAGTGCCATGGGACTCATGGCCATCATGCCGCCCATGGGCATGGAAACGGGCGTCATATTGGCCGTGCTCGCCGCCAGCATCTTGACATCCGCCTCTGCTGCAGCTGCCGGACTGGACTTCAGCTGTCGCTGTTCACGTGCCTCGGCATTCACGGGCTGCGCCTGGCAGCTGCTGCTCAGCAGCAGCAGCACGGAGAGCAGCAAGGACGACTTGTGGGCGATAGACTTCATTATGCTAACTCTTGACTTGGTCAACTGTTTGCTTCCGGCACGCTGGAGTCGGCTTTTATGCGAGGCTGGCGGAAACTTTCTACATTGCAATTGGTTTTCTTTTTGGCTCATAAAAATTTGGCCAAAGTGAGTTTTTACGTTTTTATGACAGTAGCCAAAAAAAAAAGCAAAAACAACTACAAAATATGAAGTCAGTTTCTGGGTTTTGTAATCTCTTTATAAACAATTCGCACATTTTGCCTAATGCCAACCGCAAATAAGGTGCTAAATGTCTCAGCCGACGCCGGCTGGGCAGAAAATTGATTTTTGTTAGATTTTTTATTTTCGTCACAAATCTTCAACGTGGTGAATTGAACAAAGTGAAATGCGAGCGTAGATTTTTGCTTCTGTGTTGATTGCTTTGTGAAACGAAAGACTCAGGCAACGAACTCGCTTTTATTTATGGCATGCATGCCTGAAAGTATGCCGAGAAATTTAAGTGTCTCGTGACTCATGACTAGCTAAGGCTCTAGTTAAAATGCATCATCTGCGTTTAGTTAGAGTTTAAAGTGTGCTAAAACACATTTTGATTGCTTTGTAAAACGAAAGACTTAGGCAACGAACTTGTTTTAATTTACTGGCATTGTTTATTAAGTATGCCGAGAAATTTAAGTGTCTCGTGACACATGACTAGCAAAGGTTCCAGTTAAAATGCATCATCTGCGTTTAGTTAGAGTTTAAAGTATGCTAGAACACATATTTATTGAATTGTAAAACGAAAGACTTAGGCAACGAACTTGTTTTAATTTATGGCATTGTTTATTAAGTATGCTGGCAAATTTAATGCACACGTGACTCATGATAAGCAAAGGCTCTAGTTAAAATGCATCATCTGCGTTTAGTTATAGTTTAAAGTATGCTTCATACACATTTTGATTGCTTTGTAGAACGAAAGACTTAGGCAACGAACTTGTTTTTGTTTCGCATGCAGGCCCGAAAATATTCTAATTTAATGGACTTTTCGTGTGGCTCGCGACTTATGACAACAAATCGATTTAGTTACTATGCACAGTTTGGTCGAATTTTTAGTTTTATGCATGCATATGTTAATATATTTAACAAAGCTTCGCCACACTTTGCAGCTGCTCGCGAATATCGTTAGCGTGTCTTGAGCTCATATAGTTAAAATGATGATCAAAAATCATTCTAAGGCTTGTTAAGACCCAACAATTTTAGAATTTGATCTGTTTTCTTTATTTTATTTGTACTGTTATTATGTTTACAACTTTAATTAAACTTATTTGCAAATTTACAATACTACTTAGTCTACTGTTAAGTCTAATACAAAATTAACAAAGTAAGGGTGACTATGTAAATCGATCTGGGCGATAGATTGGACGAGTTCTCCGCAATTTCCTCCGCATTCGGACTCCTCCAATTCGAAGCCTCTTTAGAAGGCGCCTAGCCTGAAAGAAGAGTAATTTATATATAATTTATATACCCCGGCCTTGCCCGACCTTTGTCTATATAGGATATTTGAGAGTACCATTTTCACATGAATTTCGACCGAAAAAAATGTTGACAGATTTAGATGCCAAATTGATTTAGAGGCCAAACCATGCACAAAAAGCCAAATCTTGTGAAAATCGGACGATTTTTGACCGAGTTAAGAGGGTGGAAAATTTTGACCTATGTCCTACTATATACAAGATATTTGAAGGTACCATTTTCACATGAATTTCGAACCAAAAATAATGTTGCCAGATTTAAATGCCAAATTGATTTAGAGGCTAAACCATGCTCAATAAGCCATACCTCATGAAAATCGGACGATTTTTGACCGAGCTATGAGGGTGGAAAATTTTGACCTATGTCCTATTATATATAGGATACCATTTGAAAGTGTCTGTAAAATTCGTATATCATATTCTTGATTTTTATCTGAATTAATCTGTTGCCGGCATAGAATAACAGCTAAAATGTTGTAGCCGTAAAACTTGCTTAAAAATTGAAAACCTTTCTATTTAAAAAATGCAGTTCATTTTCATTTCTTTGTTATTAACATATATTATATAAAAAACAATAAATAATTAGTATAAATAAATACTAACTACAGCTACACCTGTGCGAATGGCTTAACTAGAATATATACTCTACATATAACATCTAAGTTTGAGTTGAGATTATTTGCCAAAGCTGTCTGTGTAGGCGGCGCGTTCCCTGTCCGCACGATTTGTGCGTGCATCGTAGGAATCGTAGGCGAGGAAGCGCTGCTCCGGCGCATCGGAACGACGATGTTCGTCCTGGGAACTGGGATTGTTGTGATGATAGCCGTAGACAACGCTGCTGGGATAGCAGATGTAGTAATCATTTTGATAGCTGCCGCGTTTCGTGCGCACAGGCTGCCCGCTGATGTCGCTGGGCGAGCTTAAAGCCTGGTAGGGATTGTTCAGAGGCGCTGCCTGAGACAGGCACAATGTGGCCAGGATGAGCGCAAATATCCAGCTGCAGTTCATGTTGTGTGTGGGAGAATAATATACTAAATAATTCACTGGAGGATTTGCTGATGCTGCTGCTGCTGATGTGCTGCTGTTGTAGTTCCTTGAGGTTCTGTGCCGTTTCAGTAGGCGTTCCGTCCGTTTTATACATCAACTCACATTTCACACTATGCGCTAATTGATATGGCAGACAGACAGAGCTCCAGGTGAGGCACCAATTCCAGTTCGTTGCGCATCTTTCCATTCGATTAGCACCCCGAACAACATTTCCGTGCAGGCGGCGTTTAGGGGGTGTTCCATATGACGCCAGGCCCTGCGAGAGATGATCCATAAGCTCGGCATTTATGAACTCCTAATTTGTGGTTGATTATATATTTTTTTATAGATTTTTGTTGCGGTAGGCGCTGCTCGGTACCCTGCGAATGAGTCAACAGCTAGATATAGTTTCATTCAGTCTGGCATCAGGTTTCGCCTCTAGATCTTAACTGCAATGCCAAATATGGGCTTTTTTTTGTTTTTGTGGAAACTAAGTATAGCTCGTTGTGTTTATTTGACAAGTGCATTTCTCGAAATCATTCGCAAATAAAAACAAATAGGCGTTAATTAGCCTTTTACTCCCATGAACTTGGCATATATACTATATGAATCACATTCCACAAGTGTCAGCTATTTCCGTGTAATTTGCTCACCAGGCCAAGTGCATAATATTTGATTTAACTAATTCATTAACTATTCATGAATCAGCTCGGCTTTGGTGTTAAGTAAATGTTTCAGGGGGCATATCTGAGCTGTCTTCGTGCCAGGTGCCAACAGGCACAGTTTTTATGGAGCAAGAGATCAACTTGATTTCAAGCAGGGAATGTCTTTATTGTCAATCTTTTAATGTCAATCTATTCTATTAAATTTGTAAAAATATATATAGATATTTTGTGTCAATCTATTCTATTAACTTTTAAAAATATGTATAGATATTTTGGGTATATGTATATCTATATAATTTTTTAAAAGTTATTAGAATATTTTGGGTTATATATTAATATATATATATAATATATTTTTTAAAGTTAATAGAATAGATTGACATCAAAAGTTGTTAATTTTTGCCAAATATTGTGATGCAGGCCCTTGCTTTATATAGGTCAAAAGGGTTCAAAGTTTAGAATTCAGAGTCCTAAATGCCAATGCAAAAATTTATATCATACCCAAATCGGACTATTATTTGCCCGAGATAATCAAAAGCAACATCAAAAAGTTGTTTAATATGGAATAGATCCATTTGAAGCAGCTTTTATTTAATGGTAAAATATAAAATAAATTAGAATAAAATAATAATAAATAAATAAGCTTGAAAATTTCAATTAAAAACCAATTATTTAGTCAGCTTTATTTATTGCGCTGCTTAGCCCGAAAAAGTTCCTGGCTAATTAAATCATTTATCACTTTTTTTTTTTTTTTTTTTTTGGCTCGGAGAATAAATCATTTCAAGCTGTAAAACTGGTAAATTTCGATTCTGTCTGAACAAATTTGACAAATGTCTCAGTTTCGGTTTCGCTTTTCAGGCCAGGCCCCGTTTTTTTTTTATGAGTATTACGTTATATATATTTTCGGGCAGTTTTAATTGAAGTCAACGGAATATTTTGAGCTACCCGCTGGAATATTTCTGAGTCTTACATTATTTTGCAGTGCGTTAAAAATATAATTTTCGCATTCGCCAGCTAGTTTTTGATTAATAGTATTATTGTTAAAGCTATTGTTATTGTTTTGTTTGCTTTGGAGCGCAAAACCGGCTGCCAGAAGGCGTGAACATTTCGGATATATATTTGCGTCTGTCTCAAAGGCGTGTTCGTTTTTTTTTCTCGAATTTTTTTTTATTGTTATTTGTTTGGTTTTTACATCAAGTTCGTCTATTTTCCATAAAAGTTGCCGCTGGCTGAGGCTGAGGCCGAGGCAGAGGCTGAGGCGCTGCCGCCTCCAAAGCCGCCGCCGCCGCCGCCGCGGCGTCCAAAGCCACCGCCGCCGGGATAGCCGCCGCCAAAGCCGCCGCCGGGATAGCCGCCGCCGCCGCCGCCAAAGCCGCCGCCCGGATAACCGCCGTAGCCGCCGCCGCCAAAGCCGGGTCGTCCAAAGCCACCGCCGCCGCCGCCGCAGCAGAATCCGCCGCCGCCGCCGCCAAAGTGACGTGCAAGACGCACTCCGTCCGCATCATTGCCAGCCGGAGCGTCCACCTGCTCCAGCGTGAGCTGCTCCTCGACTGGCTCCAGCGGATGGGCACAGACACAGGCCAAGGCCAAGGCCACGCAGATTAAGGCTAGCACCACAAACTGTTTCATCTTTGGGTTAACAATTGCTTCTATTCGGGGTCGAACGCAAGCCGAGATCTTTTATAGTCGTCGACTTTTCGGGGGATGCACCGCACGGAACCACAGAAGTACCATGTGATTCTGATTGGCTCATCCTGACCGAAAAACGAATCATTAGCTCCAGCATCTATCATTATTTTGTTTTTCTGCTTTCGATGATTTCACCAGCATATGTAAGCAAGCGGCCAGCGTAATTCCCGGACCCCTAAGGCGCTCAGGCAATTTGGTTGCCATCCCCCCAATCTCTCCCGCAATATCTTCACTCTCCCGCCAGCCCTCCCGCAACGCTCACTTTTAGCACACATTTCTCAAGTTGGCCTAGAGCCAAAGACCTACATTGTTGCAGCTTGTTGTTAAGACGCGGCAAATTAAAAACTTCTCACACTGTTTCCATAAACAAAACACTTGGCCACTTCACCTGGGGGACTCACTGTTCTAATACCCTGTAAGAAACCGCAGCAAAAAGGTGGTTGGACTCGAAGGAAAGCCAAGACAAAGTAGATATGTCTTAGCTACTTCAGGTAGAACATGGGCAAAGCTCTTCTGCAACTGAAATGCATAGAAAGTGACAAAAATATTTATTAAATATATTTTATAGGGTATTAAGGTGGTGAGCACACACATTCTCTACACATTTTATGCCCTTGTTAAAGGTATTATTAATCTGTCACGAAATGTGTAATGCATAGAAAGAGAAGGCTTTGCATAGGTTCGGCCAGATCGGACTTCTATATGCTATAGCTTTTTTTAATTGAAGGTTTATTCAAAAATTAAGTTCTTTCATGAACAATTTTTTAGTTGTTAAAGATATTTTGATTCATCTTGGCATTTAGGAGTCTTATCTAGCTACTATATTACATAGCGAGAATCAGTTGAAAAGCTTTATTTTTTAGAAAGAGTTTTTGTTTTTCAAGATTTTTTGTCATATCTGCAAAGTAATATCAAGTTGGGGAACTATATTATGTGACTCCTATTAGAATAATCGTTCGGAAATAAAACTTCTTATAAAATCAATTCTACCCCCAGCTCTGAAAGGGTATTTAAACTGCGGCGTGCCGTTTTGTTTCTCCTCTCGTTATGGCTACGTTGAGTGGCAATCGAAAATTAATAAAAAAAACTTGTTAAGAGTTCGGATTACTGACCTTTCAAAGTGTTTGCCGAACTGCGCAGTAAACGATCCGAATTTCAATTATATCATTTTTTATTCTGGTACATTAAAAGGCAACGTGTTTTGACACACACATAAATTGCACATTTTTTAAAAGTAGTTAATTTGTTTTTATTTTCTTTACTTAAAACAAGTGTACGCCTAATGAGAGGCTTAGCAGAAGATCAACCGAAGCTAACTAATAAGCCGGATAATCAAATAATCAATTTGAAGGGAATTTAATAGAGTTTAATTAGAGAATATTTACAACAATTTTTTTTTAATAATTTTTTGATGATTCTTTAACGATTCTCCTGAACTCAATATATTTACAACACAAAAATATTTTTAGTTATTTTTTATGAGCATACTGTAAATCGCAATTTATTATTATTGCATAATTTTGGGCTCTGGAAAAAGTCTGGTCGTTAAATCTTATTTAATGATTAATATTTTTCGTTTTGCCTATATTTTGCCTACTTATCAACTATAAATTTTCTCTCAGTGTTGCACACACTTTTTGTGCAATGAATGAGAAATGTGCATATTCAAATTGTGACGCGTACTTGACAGTAGGATAATTGTAAACAAAACGCAAGTCAAATTAATGAGACCGAAAACCGGTTGTTAAACAGCCCCCAAAATGACGCATTACATCAATCGACTATTAATTAATAATTGGGGGTTCACATAATAAAAAAACTCTTATTTATTACATTCTTTTTTAAATTACTTTCCCACAGTCACAGTCGACACTCGATAGGCGTATCTAATCGAAGAGGTTTGTCCAATTAAATGGATTTTCAATTGGGATTATTCTTTTTCATTTTAAGATAATATCCGTTCAGTTTTTAGATAATATCAATGCCAACTTTGTAAGGAAAAGAACTTAGCTCAGCTGAATAAAAGCTTTTATTCAAGTATGTTTGTTTTTCGTTTTACTTGTTACCTAATTGACTTAGCTAATTCCATTGAAAGCAAATACAATTATGGACTTCTAAAGATTTCTTTAAGTTTAATTTCCTATAAAGCAAACAAGTTTCATAGAGCTAAAAAACAAACTTAAGAAAAACCCGCGGAAGTTAACAAAAACAAAAAAAAAATACGCGTTAACGGTGTGAAACAGTTTTTAATATACCCTACACCCATTACAAAGTGGGTCAGATGGGGTATATTGGTTTTGTTGTGAATGTGTGTAAAATGTGGAGTAGGGCTGATTGGGTGAAAAAAATATCGAGGTCAAGTACATTTGGGACAAACGAATTGATCTAGTCTGTCTGTTTGTCGATCTCAGCGACTTTATGTGCTGGAAATTATATAAAAAATACAATTAACCAAGCTTGTGCAAAATCAATTATTACTAGTTTTAAAACCATCTAGGCTAAGCCTAACTCTTTAGAGCTAAGCTAACTATACAAATGTTTGAGCAGCTGCCAGCTGAAAACCGGATATCTGCTAGTCGAGCACATCTAAAGTTTATTGTAGAGGGTATTATTATTAAGTCAACAAATATGTCACGCATAGAAGGAGACATACTCGATCGTATAATTTATAGGTATAAATTATAATCATAATTAGAAAAATTTTTAAACAAACTATGTACAATAAGAATCCCATATGGGAAAACTAATGTAGGGGCCGAATAGGGCATGGGATATAATACCATTATATGGAAAACTTTTCTGTTTTTCAAGATATCTTGAACAAGCCCAACAGTTATGGGCTTTACTATTCTACCAATACGTCTGCAATACAGTATTAGATCGTACTTTTATATTATTTGGCTATATGGTTATGGCTGTTGCAAATACAGGGTATTTCAGCTTCGTCCGTGTTTCTTGTTAATTTTGCTATTTTGATTGTTACCTATTTGGTCAATATTTGCCAAAACGTTGAGCAAGGTCAATGTCAGGCGTCTGCAGTCTTTGGAGCATGCGTGAAAGCATGGAACCAGAACCAGTCCATGACGCGTTGCCGCGACTCCAACGCGACTTCAGCGCGATTTCGCCGCGATTTAGTAGCGTTTTAGTAGCGTTTTATTTGCGTGTGCGTGCGAGCTGTCGTTAAATTTTGGCAACTTTCGGATGCGCTGAAGGTCTGCCAGTTTCCGTCACATATTTGGCCAAATGCTCAAGAACAGTTGTTAGGGGCGTGGCCTCTTCAGCCAGCATATAAAACTAAATTTGACAATGTGCAGCAACTTTAGTTGCCAGTCGTCAGGTGCCGCGGCGTGACTTTAATTGTCACAATCTTCAACGAAATGTATTTGCCGGCGCGTTTTTGCCTGCTCAGTGTGCTCTTTGCCCTGGCTAACGGTCAGAGGAGCAAGCCGCGGGCTGAACGTCCACAGGGACGCACATTGGGTCTGCTCTCGCCGCTGCTCTTCGGCTCCACGGGACCGTTGTTCGATGCGCCAGTGGCGCCTCTGGGCGGCATCAGCGGGGGCGGGGCGGCGGCTGGCGCGGGCAGTGGCACGCAGTCGGATCCGTACTATGGTGGCGCAGGAGGAGCAGGAGCAGGAGTAGGATACGGAGGCGGAGGTGGATACGTAGGCGGAGGAGGATACGGAGGCGTAGGTGGAGGAGGAGGATATGGAGCCGGAGTCGGAGCTTATCCTGGCTATGGCAGCGTCTACGGCTACAGGCCCAACTATGCATTCAACTTGGGCCTGGGCTATCCGGGGCTGGGTCAGAGCTATTATGGCTATCCAGGCTATGGCTTATACAGGCCCAGCTACAACTACAACTACGGCGGCTATCAGCGGCCCGTGCAATATCCGGGCAACTATTACGGCTCCAGGCCCAACTACGGCAATTACAACAACTACAACAACAATTATGGCAACTATGGAAACAGACCCTCCGCCTACGGCAGCTACGCATCAGCCGTGCCGCCAGTTAGTGCCAATCCAAGCGCGGGCGTGTCACCTGGTGCCGGCGCGAATCCGGGCGCCGGAGCTGGGGCTGGCTCACAGCTGAACACAGCGCAGGCGGCGCAGCTGGCTGGACTGCTGGGCCAAGCGCTGGGCAGCAGCTTGCGACCCTTGGTGGCCAATGGCGGTGCGGGCGGTGCGGCCGGAGCTGCCGGAGGCGCCAATCCGCAGGCGCTGCAAAGTCTTTTGGGCTTGTTGGGCTGAAGGTAGTTCCGAATGGAACCAGCCGACAGACTAGTCTACGATTATCGCATAGAATATCTCATTAACAAAGTATTTTTTTAATTTAAGTTTGTTCAGTTATATTAAAAAGATAAAATCTCTAGATATAAAACTCTTTGGCATAGGTCAAAATATCCCAGCCCCATAACTCGGTCAAAACTCAACCGATTTTCATAAAGTTTGGCTTTTTGTGCATGGTTTAGCCTCTAGATCAATTTGGCATCTAAATCTGGCAACATTATTTTTGGTCGAAATTCATGTGAAAATGGTACCCTCAAATATCCTACTTATATATAGTAGGATATAGGTCAAAACTCCCCAACCCCATATCTCGGTCAAAACTCAACCGATTTTCACGAGGTTTGGCGCTTTGTTCATGGTTTAGCCTCTAGATCAATGTGGCATCTAAATCTGGCAACATTATTTTTGGTCGAAATTCATGTGAAAATGGTTCCCTCAAATATCCTTTATAGACATAGGTCAACATTTCCCAACCCCATAACTCGGTCAAAACTCAACCGATTTTCATAAAGTTTGGCTTTTTGTGCATGGCTTAGCCTCTAGATCAATTTGGTGCCTAAATCTGACAACATTATTTTTTGTCGAAATTCATGTGAAAATGGTACCCTCAAATATCCTATATATAGTAGGATTTAGGTCAAAACTCCCCAACCCCATATCTCGGTCAAAACTCAATCGATTTTCATAAAGTTTGGCTTTTTTTGCTTGTTCTAGCCTCTAGATCAATTTGGTGCCTAAATCTGGCAACATTATTTTTGGTCGGAATTCATGTGAAAATCGTACCCTCAAATATCCTTTATAGACATAGGTCAACATTTCCCAACCCCATAACTCGGTCAAAACTCAATCGATTTTCATAAAGTTTGGCTTTTTGTGCATTGTTTAGCCTCTAGGTCAATTTGGCATCTAAATCTGGCAACATTATTTTTGGTTGAAATTCATGTGAAAATGGTACCCTCAAATATCATATATATACTTAGTAGGACATAGGTCAAAATTTCCCACCCCCACAACTCGGTCAAAACTCAACAGATTTTCATAAAGTTTGTCTTTTTGTGCATGGTTTAGCCTCTAGATCAATTTGGCATCTATATCTGGCAACATTATTTTTGGTCGAAATTCATGTGAAAATGGTACCCTCAAATATCTTATATATAGTACGACATAGGTAAAAATTTCCCACCCCCATAACTCGGTCAAAACTCAGCTGATTTTCATAAAGTTTGGCTTTTTGTGCATGGTTTAGCCTCTAAATCAATTTGGCATCTAAACCTGACAACATTATTTTTGGCCGAAATTCATGTGAAAATGGTACCCTCAAATATCTTATTGGTTGGGCAAGGCCGGGGTATACCAGCTAGTATATATATATATATATACATATACTCAAAGTTTCGGCAACTTTTGCCAAATGTGAATGAAACTTTGTTGCCCAAAAAATTATTTCTTAAATTGATCTGAAATTTGCTTTGTGTGCATGACTTTGTTAAAGCACATCTTTTTAATTGTTTGCGAATTTTGTTGATTCTTCTGTGCGACTCGCCCCTCAACAGAATTTACATAAATTGTTTTGAAAAAATGGGTGCAATGAACCAAAAAGTGATTCATATTCAAGAGCTCTCAGCTCTGGCAAATAATTAATCAAAAATTATGATGCAAGTGCGTTGTTTTTGATTGAAAGTGTTTGCATATCTACAAATTAGACCAGGGCTAAACGATTTCCCGTTTCTTTAGCTCAGCCTAAAAGTATGTTTTCGGTTTTAAGCCTAACAAGCGACAGCTAATTGATTAATTTAAGTATTGAAATACATTTTATTGATCTTAAGAGCGTATATTTTGTAGAACTAAGAGCCAAGGGCTACTGAATTGCGTACCTCGCACTGTGTGCTCGAAGTAAACAAGCCTTGTTTGCATCGCACTCTCAAAAAAAAACCCCTGTGGAATGCCTAGTCATTCGATGTCTGTCGTTTTGGCCAGCAAGAGAATTTCTCATAATTGCGAAACTCGATGGGTGCAAATAAATCTAATTGAAAATGCAAAGTGCAAGACCCACAGATCTATAAAAAGTAGCAATTGGCTAACAAGTGGAAGACAGTTCAGTTCTCAAGTTAATCAGAAATGAAGCTGTGCATTTTGCTTGTAATCGCAAGTCTCAGTTTGTCCTGCGGCTGGCCAGCTCAGCTGGAGCAGGAGCAGGAGCAGCTGCAGCAGACGCCTGTCCTGCAGGATCCAGAAGTCCAGCAGCAGTTGGACAATACGGATTCCATGGCCACCCTATCGGATGTCGCCGATCTGGGCAGCCAGCACGCAGGCGAAGGAGCACGCAATGCCCGCTTTCTGTGGTTCAGCCCCTGGGGATATCGTTCTTATTACTATCGCCCTTACTACCATCCTTGGGGACATCATTATCATCACTATTGGTGGTGAAACTAAATTTGAATAAAGTGCATCTTCAATATTAACTATGTGGCAACGCCAATATTCATATACGAATCTAGATCATATATATAAATCCTTTACATATGCAAACTAAATTTAAATTAAATGCATCAAGAGCAAGATGAATAAATTATTATAGCTATTGTTGGTAAAACTAAATTTAAATTAAATACATCGAGATCAAGATGAATAAATCATCTTGCATTTTATAGTCACTTCCCTTAATATCAACTATGTGGCAACGCCAACATTCATAGGCGAATGTACATCATATGAATAACTTAACATATAGAAACTAAATTTTATTTAAGTGCATCAAGATCAAGATGAATAAATCAATTTGCAGTCTATTTTTTATTATTATTAACTACGTGGCAACGCCAACATTCTTATACATAAGGAAACTAAATTTAAATAAAATTCATCAAGATCAAAATGAATAAATAAATATGCAATTTATAGTCTTGTTTCTTGAATATTAACTTAGTCTACTTCCTTTAATATCAACTGTGTGGCAACGCCCAAGTTCATAGGCGAATCTAGATCATATGAATAACTCGGGTACTCGGGTTAAGAAGGATCTCGCCAAATACAATAAATGATAAATATTTTAGCTACCATGATATTTAAATTAACTAAATGCTTAATCTTTTGATTAGCGTTTCAAATTTCATAGCGAGATCAAGTGTTCTCAAGTCGCCTAATTGAGATTTCACAACATTATCCAACACTTAGTCACAGTTGCAGCAATTTGCTGATCCATTATTGCTGGGGCTCAGCTGAAATTCTTACCCAAGCACTTGTCGCATATTCGTGTTAATTGGCTTCCAGTGCACTAGACGAGGGAATCACAACTTTGTGACGTTGTCAGCACTGAAAAGTGCAATCTCATTGCGAATAGAGTCAATAACGATATGGGGGTTATAGCTGGTAAATAAACCCACGCACGTTTAGCGCCTATAATATAATTGAAATAATTCATTGATGTTCTAACAATTTTGTTTATCCATTTCTGAAAGCTTTGCCCAAACAAAAGAAACCGTAAATTGAAACGGGTTCAGTTTCGAAACGCAGTATTCTAATTCTTAACCGGCCAAATTCATAACTGAATGACTTTATTTAAGTCAAGTTTGTTTATCAACAAATAACTCGTTCCACCCTGTACTCAAAAGTGTTGCATAAGGCGTATAATTGGCAGAAAGTCAAGCACTTTTAACATTATTTCACGATTACAGGGTATTTTCTAGCAGGGCAGTCTGCTCGATTTTGTTAACGACTTCATCGAATCTGTCAATAAGCTACCGAAATATCAAAGGCGAAATGGGATGAGTTCAAACTAATATCTACGCCCAGTTCAGTGCAAATTTTTCTCATATATTTTACTTAAGATAATTATTATTATTTGGACTTTAATTAGTTTTTCGGCTGTTTCGCATATTTTTTTATTAAACTGGCATTTTTAATTGTAAATAAATATAATAAGGCCCACACGTGTGGCAGATGAAATAGTACGCTCGGTCGCGGGTGGCTCAAAATGTTCTTGAACTTTTTATTATTTTTATAATTTTATTTATTTGTTATTTATTACTTTGTGTATTGTTGCCAGAGCGAATCGAGGTAGGCTGCCCGGCGGCGCAGTTCCTTGCGCTCCTCAATCTGATAGAGTTGCGCCCGTTTGGTCTCCAAGAGAATTTGCTTCGTTTCCGACTCACGATGCTTCTCCGAGTTTTCGCTGGCGGCGAGTGACAAAAACGAGATTAATAGTTATTTATTTAGTTAGAAATTCAGCTGACCCACATCTCGCGCTGCTGCTGCTTCAGCTGGAGCAGCTCCTGCTCCTCCCGCTCGCCTCTCATCAGCGCCATTTGTATCCATTCGATGCGCTGATTTTGCGCTGCTTCGAGACGCGCCTGCAGCAGCTCCGCCAGCTCCTCGTCCAGCTGGCGCTGCTCGCTGTTCAGCTGCTCTGCCAGCTGGCGGCGGCGCTGTTCCAAATCCCTGGCACATTCTCCAAGTCGCCGCTGCACTTTGCCTTCTATTTGGGCATTTCGATTGCGTCGATTGGTTCGGTTTAGAAATTCAGCAACATGCATTCCGAAGCTTTGTTTGGTCGTTGGACAGGTTCAAATCCTTGGCAACGATAAATAACTATAAATAACGATAAAATGCATGTTAACTCAAAATGGTTATGTTAAATGTTATGCTAAACTTACTGTTAACCTTGCTGTTAAGTTAGACAATTGATGTAGAAAGATAGATTCGCAGCAGGATTGTAGGGGAAGCCTTAGTAGTAAATATATCTTAAACTACAAATAACCTGAATAATAACTGGAAGATGCTTCTCATACTTATCACCTGTGCATCAAAAGCGATAGATAACGACTGCTAGGATTGAGACCAGCCCGACTTGGAAACAAATATGTAAGCAGCTGGGCTTTCTCTTAAGATTTAGTTAAGAGGAGCCTTTTAAGCATCTTCGACAGCTTGGACAAATCCCAGCACTACCTGGAGCAAGATATGAGAAGCTTGCAACGACCTCATTGAACTTAGTTGAGAGTTAGCTCCCCCTTAGAGAAATATATCGACAAATTGGAGAAAGATCACGACACCGTGTAAATCGAAGGGACCCAGACTAATGTATTGCCTTAGCCATTGCTCTGTAACAAAGGAAAAGATTGATCGTAAACCTAGCTACTCTCAGAGTAACTCTCGGCAGGAAATGAGCTGGCATTCTTTTTGTAGGGCTTAAAGCACCCTCGAGACTAATTAATTGTATGCGCCATCAAAAAGTTCGTTTTTCCGCGAAACCCGAATAACAATTAATCTAGCTGAATCTTCCATAAAAGGCGCTGGCATTGCAATAGATTGCATCAGTACGGAATTTGAGTTGAAAAACAGATAAACGGCTGGAAGATGCGCTTGACACTGGTGCTGCTTGTTGGAGCTCTCTGCCTGGCCCTCAGCTATGCGCTGCCGTTGGACGATGATGACAATGTCCAGGATAATGGCCAGATAACATTACTGGATCTGGCCGATCAGCCCGAGGGACATGCTAATGAGGGCGATCGAGAGGCGCGAGCCTTCTGCTGCGGCGGCGGGTTTGGTCGTCGACGGGGTTACGGTGGCTATGGTGGATATGGTCGTGGTGGTTTCGGCTATGGTGGCTACGGTCGCGGTGGATATGGTGGCGGTTATGGTGGATATGGCCGTGGCGGTTTCGGTCATGGTGGACACAGACGTGGTGGCTACGGACATCGTGGTGGCTATGGATTTTATGGACGCTAGCCCCACAAATAGATTTATGTCTCTTGGTCGTGCCTATAAATAAGTTAAATTGTGTACAACAATTCGGATCGTAGTGCAACTTGAGCTCATGGTGAATTCCATGTGTATGGTGAATATGGGCGTGGTGGATACGCTTCTCGACGCTAACCTCACAAATTGTTTTGCTTATTTTGCGTGTTAATAAATAAATTAAACTATGTACAAAAACTTGTCGCTTAATGGGATTTAAGCTTTGTTTTGAGCACTACGTAGCGCAATTTAATTGCCTAATAACTCACGGGTGAGTCACAAGTAAGCAAAACAATCAAACAAAAAAAAACCTACAACCGAAATTATTGTGAACCTAAGTTCACGTAGGTCAACTAATACACTTATCTTAAATTATGCATCACAGCGAATAGTGCGAACTTGCATTTGCGAATAGCACCTGCTAATTATTAGCATTTGCCGAAATTAATAAAGTACATCTTATGTCAAGTGTAACACATATGACAAATCGGGCGTAAAAAACGAGTTTCGCCTTTCGATTGTTCATTTAAAAAATTTGCATGATAATATGCTCAATTATATACATACATACATATATGTATGTGCTTTTAAGATCAACTATGCTATGCACAATTTGGTTTTTACGTGCCAGCTAATTTGTTTTGATAAATGCAACAGCATGTCATAAACGATTCACAACTTAAGTGTTTGTTTTTGGCGACTCGAGCTTAAGTGTACTTAGGTATTCAGTTGCCAAATTATGGATACTTAGCATAGCTCAGTTGTACACCATGCTAGTTATTATTCGAACAGCGTACTAACTACTTGCTCTCAAGTCATTTAACAACACTGCTTCGAACAGCGTACTAACACTAACCAAAAAACATATAGACTGGACATGCCGTGTACAATAGGTGGTCTCCAAAAATTGGTTTGCATCTGGTCCAACGAGCGAGTAAGATATACATATGACATCTTTTGATCGCTCACACTACAGGAAACTCCTTTGGCTTACTCTCTTCCATATGATTTGTGCGATAGAACGGCATCGCTGTTTTTTATCTCGCTCCCACTACAGGAAACTGCTTTGGCTTACTCTCTTCCATATGATTTGTGCGATAGAACGGCATCGCTGTTTATTTTTATCTCGCTCGCACTTACTCTCAGTGCTCTCAATGCTCTCTTCATGTCTAGGTACCGTTTAAATGTTTGTGTGTGCATGTGGGGCCGCACAAGCAAAAATGCCCACAAATTCAATTTTTGTCAAAAGTCGGTGGCATTTCTTCCCTTTTGAGGGGACGAGTAATATGAAATCATGAAAGGGTTTGCCAAGTCGATGCGAAATTCTTTCATTTTAGCTCGGTATTTGCTGGAAAGGGTACCTAAGCGTTGGCATGTGTGCATTTTAAAGTTTTTGGACTTGCTATTCACGCATACTTGCGTATTTTGTATATGAATAGAAGCATTTATGCGCATGTGTGCCTGTTTGTCCCTGCCTGCCTGTCCGATCCAAATTTGACAATATTTTTGGACTTCTGAATTTCGAGCTCTGCGCATACACACACACAGACATAAATGTGTGTGAATGGGCAGATCATGGGCGCAAAAGAAAATATCATTTTTGGCCCGCGGTTGTCGCGCACCCTTCTTTTTATGATTTTGGGGTTGAATCGATGAAAAAATGTTGACCCCTCAATACCTGCAGATCCAATTCATATATGAAAAAGCTAAATATTTAAAGACAATAAAATTATGAATACTATAAATATATAATTGCTCCTATTTTGTATTTGGTATATTTGAATATTTTAAAGATTTTATTTTTTACACAATTTTCTTAAAACTAGTTAAGTGATCAGTCACTTGACCCAAATATGCAGGTACAGGTGCTTGGCAAAATTTTACCCTTTCCACCCAACGGGCTGCTGCAGGGGTCAACATTTTTTCATCGATTCAACCCCAAAATCATAAAAAGAAGGGTGCGCGACAACCGCGGGCCAAAAATGATATTTTCTTTTGCGCCCATGATCTGCCCATTCACACACATTTGTGTCTGTGTGTGTGTGTGCGCAGAGCTCGAAATTCAGAAATCACAAAATATTGTCAAATTTGGATCGGACAGGCAGGCAGGGACCAACAGGCACACATGCGCATAAATGCTTCTATTCATATACAAAATACGCAAGTATGCGTGAATAGCAAGTCCAAAAACTTTAAAATGCACACATGCCAACGCTTAGGTACCCTTTCCAGCAATACCGAGCTAAAATGAAAGAATTTTGCATCGACTTGGCAAACCCTTTCATGATTTCATATTACTTGTCCCCTCAAAAGGGAAGAAATGCCACCGACTTTTGACAAAAATTGAATTTGTGGGCAATTTTTGCTTGTGCGGCCACATGCACACACAAACATTTAAACGGTACCTAGACATGAAGAGAGCATTGAGAGCACTGAGAGTAAGTGCGAGCGAGATAAAAATAAACAGCGATGCCGTTCTATCGCACAAATCATATGGAAGAGAGTAAGCCAAAGCAGTTTCCTGTAGTGGGAGCGAGATAAAAAACAGCGATGCCGTTCTATCGCACAAATCATATGGAAGAGAGTAAGCCAAAGGAGTTTCCTGTAGTGTGAGCGATCAAAAGATGTCATATGTATATCTTACTCGCTCGTTGGACCAGATGCAAACCAATTTTTGGAGACCACCTATTGTACACGGCATGTCCAGTCTATATGTTTTTTGGTTAGTGGTACTAACTACTTGCTTTTGTACCACTTTACAACACTGCTCAAGGGGCTTAAAGTGGCCTACACACACTGGTAATTGCTTTGGCTTAATTAATTTAAATATGCTCCATATTGTCTGAGTTTTACAACACTGCTTCGAACAGCGTACTTGCTTTGTTGTTTCGAAACTTTACAACACTACTCAAAGTGATTACAGCTGGTAATTGCTTTGGCTTAATTAATTTAAATATGCGCCACATTGTCTGAGTTTTACAACACTGTTTTACAACACTGCCTTGTGCCTTTGCATCACTTTACAAAACTGCTCAAGGGGCTTACAGTAGCCTTCACACACTGGTAATTGCTTTGGCTTAATTAATTTAAATATTTCATATTGTCTAAGTTTTACAACACTGCTTCGAACAGCGTACTTGCTTTGTTGTTTCGAAACTTTACAACACTACTCAAAGTGATTACAGCTGGTAATTGCTTTGGCTTAATTAATTTAAATATGCGCCACATTGTCTGAGTTTTACAACACTGTTTTACAACACTGCCTTGTGCCTTTGCATCACTTTACAGCACTGCTCAAGCGGCTTACAGTTGCATTCACACACTAGTAATTGCTTTCGCTTAATTAATTTAAATATGCTCCACATTGTCTGAGTTTTACAACACTGCTGCGAGCAGCGTAGTTGCTTTAACCACTTTAAAACACTGCTCTAAGTGATTACAGTTAGTAATTGCTTTGGTTAATTAGTTTAAATATGCTCCACATTGTCTCAGTTTTTTGATGGATCGTTTAGCTGCTAAATTTCAGAAGAAAACAACAACAAGTGCAGCCAGAACAGGTGTAATAATCTTGTGGCGATAAATAAATAAACAAACATCGTGAAAGTAACAATGCCTGGCTACAAAAAATTCGAAAAACAAAAAAAAAACCCCTTCTAATGTGTGTATGTGGCTTTGAGTACTATATGACACTTAAAATTAGGCGATGCGTACGAGAACAGGAACGACAACTCAGCCGGTTATTTCCAGGCTTGGATGGCAAATAAAAGGCCGCTGGACCTACGTTGGTAGCATCAGTCACAATCGAAAGCTTCAAGCACAATCAACCAAGTAATATATATCCAACCAAAAAGGGAATCCCAAGATGCGTTTAATACTCTTTGCGCTGATCGGCGTGCTCTGCCTCGCCTATTGCTACGCCCTCGCCGAGGAGGAAGGCGCCCAGATTGATCTGCTCAACGTCGCCGATCAAGGACAGGCCCATGCCAACGAGGGCAACCGAGAGGCCCGTCAATGGGGCGGCGGCTGGGGTGGACGCGGCGGCTGGGGCGGCGGCGGCTGGGGTGGACGCGGCGGCGGCTGGGGCGGTGGCGGCGGCGGCTGGGGCGGACGCGGCGGCTGGGGCGGCGGCGGCTGGGGTGGTCGCGGCGGCTGGGGCGGCGGCTGGGGACGATAAGTTCTTGTGAAGCCATCCACAACTGCCAGCGCTCCACAGGCGTCCTAACACAGCGAAAACTTTGTTCATTTTGTGTTTGTAAATAAAGAACATTACAAAAAAAAAAAACAATTTTTAACTCATTTTTTTAAAGCGAAGGCATGAAAGATTCTATAATAATTCGTTGGGTGAATAAACCATAATAACAAAAAAAAAAGATTCCACTTTTTTTAGATTTTTCAGAACGAAAAAAATAGTATTGATTGAAAGACAATTTGAACTGCGATTAAATGCTTATATATTTCAACATTATTCAAAAATAATGGCATAGTCCAGTCTCAAGCTTATTTATTTTGCAAAGTCATTTTATTAAAGGGAGAGTCGTTCGTTTATAAATGTTACTGGTAATTTTAACATTCATGTTTGCAGCCAACTTAGCAACTGTACTTAACAAAAGTCCGGCAACGCTGCATTATGGTTATTAATTTATGCAAGCCTGAAAAGGGGCTTGTGCATATCTAATTTTATAAATACAATATCATATATATTATATACATATATTTATTAATATATTATATATGATACAGGGAACACTTGGCTTTACTTTGAGTTTCTTATGAGCTCCGCCCAGTATATAATTATAGCGTACGTCTGTCTTAGTTATACGAATAATATAGGGTATCTGCAAGTTCGGCTCTTTTAATTGTTTGCGATTAATCAATTAATTGTTAACTGTTATTCGCTTTCTATCTAAACAATTCCTAACAATACTTTGCCCAAACTTGATTTACGAATACATTCATCTCATTGTTGGGCATGCAATTTATTTACTCGACACACACACACACACACACGCACACCCACACGCACACGCACACCCACAGGCCAGCTACCAGATCTAATAAATTGCCAGTTAATGTGGTCCACTTGCGTCTTGATTATGGGATGTACATTTGGTAGGGGCAACTTTTGTGATAAACAAATGGATCAACAATAACAACAACAACAACAACAGCAACTGCAGCAAAAGCAGCTGTAATAGCCCACAAAGCATGACAATCAAATAAACAAATATTAAGAAAGTTAACACAACCTGACTTTTAGAATCGTAAAAAAAAGAAACAAGTAAAAGTGCTCTAGTTGGGAGTGCACGACTAGCAGATACCCTAAGCCCAGGGATGAGCTGCTGTGCTGGACATTTGCTCTTTGAAATCTTCGGTACTTATTGTCCGATCTTCATGAAGTTTTCTATTATATCCAAAGTGCAAGTGTTTTACATTTTGGAAGCGGTATTTCGAGAACTTATGGAATAAGTCTGGTAAATCCAGCTACGAGAATATATACTTCGACTGTCAAGAGTAACTGTCTTCTATCTGTTATATATATGTTCCATCATACCCTATTCAGCCGTTCGTTCAGGGTATAAGAATCATAACAAAGACCCCCTGATAATCTATACGTTACTTTAAGTGCTAAGTATGCGAAATGCATTTGGATTGAGGCGATGCGGCAGGGAACAGGAACGGCAACTGGATGAAATTTTGACAGCTGGCGGGCAAATAAAAGACCGCTGAAATGTGCCTCCAAGCATCAGTTGAACAGAAAGCGTCAAAGCCAAACAATCGAGATTTAATCCAAAGAATAACCAAGGAGACAAAAAAACAATACCAAGATGCGTCTAACACTTCTGGCGCTCATTGGAGCTGTCTGCATCGCCTTGAGCTTTGCCCAGCCATTGGATAACAACAACAAGGAGGAGCAGATTGATCTGCTCCAGGTAGCGGATCAAGGAGACGCCCACGCCAACGAGGGCAATCGAGAGGCGCGCCACTGGGGCGGCGGCGGCTGGGGAGGCGGTGGTTGGGGCGGCGGTGGCTGGGGAGGTGGCGGTTGGGGCGGCGGCGGCGGCTGGGGCCATCACCATGGCTGGGGCGGCGGCTGGAATCGCGGCTGGGGCGGCGGCGGCGGCTGGGGCTGGGGACGTTAAACCGTGCCAGGCCAAGCAAAGCAGCCAATGTCATCGACCACCTGTCCAGGAGCCACAGCGTTAAGACACCCTGCAATGTTTGTTTTGTGTGTGTAAATAAAGAACATTTCCAAAAAAAAAAAGAAGATTGCATTTTAATTCTAAAGAGCAGCTGCTTCTAACCTGTTAATTCTCAGGCGCAGTTCAGCTTGCACTTAAGCTGAAATTGTTGACTGTGTCTAAACTGTCTCTACTTTAAATGCCTATAGCTTAATCGAGCTAATTAAAATAATTGCACGCCAATTTTAGCTCTAATTATTAACGCATTAAAGTCAGACTGGACACTGGGTTAAAGGAACTCACAATTAAACAAAAAAAAACAGTCCTAATTAAGAATTAAATATTGTTTTTAGAGTGCAGAAACGTACAAAATATATATAGTTATAGAGATATATTCTTATAAAGAAATATATTTATAAAGATATTAAAAATGTATATTTATAAATTAAAGATATATATTTATAAAGATATATACTTATCAAGATAAATTCTTACAAAGAGATATATACAAGAACTCGCATCTCAGTCGAGCAGTCCCATCAGATCAAAATAATCTTAATGTTTTATATTCACAATATTCTGCTCAGGTGTTAACAGAAAGATATTTTGTTAAACAGGAAGTTTTCAAAGGAAAAACCAATTTCGGACCAATAGTTCCTATTGAATTAAGATATCTTATTAACACAGACAGACGGGTGGAGTTATATAGACTCGTCCGTTGATAATAGCTAATAATGTATTTTCCTAATAGATGTTGGGATTTTTTGTTATTTAACTTTCATTATGGAAACAACTTAAATTCAATTTATATGAATATTTCCAAGACAACTTATTCTACTGTTAAGTCTATCATAAAAATGTACAAAGATAGGTTGATTGGATTAACCGATCTGAGAGATCTATTGGATGAGACCTCCGAAATTTCCTCCTCATTCGAACTGCTCCAATTCTACGTCTCTTTAGCCAGACGATTTGGATAAGCCTGTATATATACTATATATTTTATAATATATTAGGTCTCTTTCCAAATCGGAATAGGTTTTGGGATCTTTTCTTCCATGCATTACATATCTATTCACAAATAATTAAATTATGAAAAATACTAGAGAATACTTTTGTGAGCCTATAGCCCATTTTTCGCCATGTAAACACTCGCTGTGAACCACTGTGCAGATCTAATATAAAAGCTGAGTGCAGCAAGGACATTCAGTACTTGCGGAATGAAGCCTTTAACTGAGCACCTGCTCAAGGTGCAGGACACCTACTTTCGCATTCTTGGATTTAATATACTTGCTAGACCAGAGCAGTCGGGCTGGCGGCAACATTGGCGACCCTTCGTTCTAATGATCTCCTTGGCCATGGTCCAAGCGATGGTTGTTGCCTTCAGCGTACAGAATCTGGATGATATGGATCAGTTGACGGAGGGCCTGGCCGCGCTGCTCATCAATCAGCTGGGACTATTCAAGTTCGGCCTCATGATGTGGCTGCACAAGGACTTTCAGCTGCTCGTGGCCAGGCTGCGGGAGTTGCTGACCCGAGGTATGAGCTGGGTAATATGCACGGGGATTCTTAGTGCCTGTTCAAGCTTGTATCCTTTGAAGTCCCGGCCTGCATCGTCGGCGAGGAGAATCGACGGGAGCAGCGGCTTAGCGGCATCTACAAGAACAGCTTTATGCTGGCGGCCATTCTGAGCTCCTTGAAGCCCAGTGTGAGCATGTGCCTCAACTATCGGCGCACGGGTCAGTTGCGACTGGAGATGACCTTTCCTTGCAGCTACCCCTGGGATAATCGACAGCTGCCTTATGCGCTGCTCTCCTACGCCCTGCTAACGTCCGCCAGCTTTGCCGTCGTCCTGCCCAGCATTTGTGTAGATACATTTTTCATGGCCCTAGTTCATAACCTTGTCGCCTTGTTCCAGACGTCGCAGCATCAGATGCAGCTCATTCGAGCTGCTGCCGACAGCCGGGCACAGCTGGGCAAGATCCTTGATCTGTACAGACGCAGCCTGGACCTGAGCGACGCACTGAATCGTTACTTTCGCCTGCTCATCTGCGTGCAATTCTTGGTGGGCTCTCTGCATCTGTGCGTGCTCAGCTACACCCTGTTGGTTAAGTTCGACAATCCCCAGATGCCCTTCTATGTGGTATTTACCGTATCCGTGCTCTCTCAGCTTTATATCTTCTGTTATTGCGGCGATCGCCTGAAGACGGCGAGCACGGGCTTTGCCAATGCCATCTATGATAGCCCCTGGCATGAGCTAACCATTGGTTCGGCCCTGGGTCGTTCTCTCCAGTTCTCAATGATGCGGGCCCATCGCGGCAGCCGCATCGATGGCTTCTTCTTTGAGGCCAACATGGAGGTCTTTATAGTGGTGAGTGGTTGGGCGCAACGCTTGAGAGCCTGGAGCTGAATTTTGCATGTGCCTAAAAGATTGTGCGAACGGCCATGTCCTACTTCGCATTGCTAAAATCCATTTCTAGGGGCACTGAATAATCAACTTTACTCAAAAAGCATACGTCCAAAAAATAGTCTGGCAACGCTACAACAAAAAATTAGCTCAAGTTAGATGCTTTAGTCGGGAGCTCCTGAATAGGGGATATCCTGAACCCTCTTCTACCAGTAATAAAAATAAATAAAAAAAATTCCTATACTATTCTATAAGCTAAATGTCAGATTTGGTGACTCTAGCTCTTATAAACTACGAGATTTGCTCAAAAACCCGGATTTCGATATCGATTTTTATCGATTACTTGGAAACGGGTCAAGTTATCGATTATCGGAAACAAACACTTACTGCGCGTGCACTAGAAGGACCTACATTCCAAATGTCAAGTCTCTAACTCTAACAGGATCTGAGATCCATTCGTTCATACACACGGACAGACAGATAGACGGACATGGCATATATACGACTCGGCTATTGATGCTGATCAAGAATTTATATACATTACGGGTCAGAGATGCTTTCTACTGCCTGTTACATACATTTGCACAAGTACATTATACCCCTTTTACCCATTATTAATGGGTACAGGGCACAAAAACAGTCTGGCAAGATAGAAGGCAAGAAATTAAGAACTTTTCGAGCAATATTCGTTTTATTGCGTAGCTTGCGTTGTCGTACGACATTTAACAATCAAACTTAAATAATGTACAAAACATATTTTAAACGATTCGTTAGGCGCTAGTTAGATGTGAAAATCGGGAAAATCGGGAACGCGTGGAAATGCATAAATACACACGGATTGGTGTGAGAGTGGAAAATGAAGGAGGGTTTGCGTGTGAGTGTTCGGGGAAGCGGTAGAGGGGGAGAGAGGTCTGTGAATCAACTGAGCTGCTGCCCTGAACTTCATCCTGGATGCTATCATACAAATATTATATCCAATTAAATATAATTCTCGATGGTCAATTATCAAATTATTTGAAGAATCGGCGGGGACCGGCAGCGGCGGCCGGGCTCACGGGCGGCGGTGTGGGAATATGTGCGCCCTCGGCGCGGAAGCCATTCTCATCGGCGATGTAGGTTATGGTGTAGAGCACGCCATCGGGTCCGGTGTACGAGTACGAGCCTTGCATTACCTGCAAATATCAATTCTATTATTTTTTGCTCTCCCAAAAGTAGGCAGCACGAGTTCTCGCTGCTTTTGCAGCTGCGCCTGAAACTGTGCAACCGCAACCCACCTGAGCCTCCAACTGGGAGCCGGGATTCTTGAGGTAGCCCGCCTCATCAGCGCGAATTCCATTGCTCGTCTCGTAGCTATTCAAAATAAATGGTAGTGAAGATATAAATAGAAAAATAAATGGGAATTAAATAATGCAATTGATATGACAGATATCCACATAATATAAAAAGGACTGACTGAATGGCTGATGGAATGCATGACTGAGTGGCTGATTGAAAGCCGACTAATGATCGATTGACTGATTGACTAAATAACTGACTGACTAACTAATTGATTGACTGAATAACTGACTGACTGAATAAGTGACTGAATGATTGACTGACTGAATAATTTACTAACTAATTAACTGAATGTAGGATTGAATGTTCGACTTTTTGAGAATTTATAACTGACTGAGTGGCATGACTGATTGACTGATTGAAAGCCTGGCTGATTGAATGTCCGACTAATTGAGTGGCTGATAGAATGCATGACTGAATGAATGCCTGCTGGAAAATTTGATTGATTGCAAAACTTGCTAACTGTATGTCTTATTAATTGACTGACTAAATAAGCGATTGAGTGATTGACTGACTGAGTAATTTACTGACTGACTAACTAATTGATTGATTAACTGAATTATAAAATAGATAAATGATTGAATGACCGACTGACTGAACGACTCGCTAACAGAATGTCCGACAAATTGACTGATGGAATAAGCGTGGTAGTGATTGACTGACTGACAAATTTAATGACTGACTTATTGATGATTAACTGATTGAAAGACTAGATGAATGAATGAATGTCTGAGTGACTGATTGACTGTATGACCTCACTGTCTGACTGATTGGCAGTCTGACTAACTAAGTGACTGACTGATTGACTGTATGACCTGTCTGATTGATTGACAGACTGAGTAACCGAATGACTGATTGATTACCTTAGATGGTTATCCAACGCATACTCTTAACACATATTTAAAAGAAAACAGCCTTTTCCAAAGATCCTTCACAATAATGACGACTTACTTGTACTGATAGGAGCCATCCGGGTTCAGATCAAAGTTCTGCTTCAGTATCACAGCATTAGCATCGAATGAGTTGGAGCGCGGCTGCGCCAGACCGCGCTGCGGCTGAGCTGTGACCACGCGCAGGCAGCAGATCGCAAGGGCAGCGACAGCGTAGGCGGAGGCGGAGGTGAGCAACTGCATGACCTTTTCAGGGGGAGGGACGGAAGGGGGGGGGGTCGATAAACGAAACAGATGATTGGTTAATTGAGACATAACTGCGATATGATAATGTCAAGCACCGTTCGATGTGCTCAGCAATTGATGCCCATAATAATTGACTTTAATCTTTGCATTTTTCGAAAGTCATCTCAAAGTGGCAACAAGAAGGTCGCAGCTTCGAAAAATATGCAGATGTGTGTATTTAAATAGCAGACTTTTTAGCTATTATTATTTTGAGAAAATTGCATATGCTACTAGCTTGGGATTCGAGCTCATGGTCTCATTGTTCAACTGAATAATCGGACTATGACTGTGTCATAATTCGTTTGACTCGCCCTACTTTTGGCCTTGGCTTAGCAATTATTGGAGCCATAGACCAGCTGATGATTTGAACCAGCTTTCTCGAAGGATTGTCTTTTGAAATATCCTTTAATAAAAGAATGCTAATAGATGTGTTATGCCTTTTTTTATTTGATCAACGATCCTTTTGATTTTAAAAAAGAATGTTGATATAAGTATTTGGTTTGACTTTTCTGTAAATATTTTGCCTCTTTTATTTAATCAACGATCCTTTTGCTTTAAAAAAAGAATGCTGTTGTATGAACATGGCTTGACTTAATTTTTTCTTTAAATATTATGTCTCTTTTATTTGATCAACGATCCTTTTGATCCTTTCGCACACAACACCAACTGAGCACAGCACAAACAGTTAAGAACTCACTTTGGAAATTCGCGGCTTGTTTTGGGAGTAGAGCGTTTGTCTGCGCTTGGAGGGCTCGTCAAAACGGTTTTGACTTGAATGCAGTCGCCGCAAACGTTTTTATACCAAAAATGCATTCACTGAGCCGCAGCAGCAGCAACTGCAACTGCAGCAGCAGCAGCAGCAGCAGCGACAGCATCCGCAATGAGAGCAGCGCGGCAGCAATCAGATTGCCTAGAAGAAGAAGCAGACGATGGCCAGGTAGAAGAGCAAGAAGTTGTTTGTATATTTGACAGCAGCAGCGACGGCAGCGACAGCGGCAGCAACAGAATCGGAAGAGGCTGCCGCGAAGTACCACGCGGCGTATGCGCAACGAGTTTCCAGAATGCAAATGGGCGTTGCGCATACGCCGCGTATAACCACACGAATGACAGGCATATGTGTGTGCGTGCGTGTGTGTGTGTGTGTATTATGAGTTAAACCGACAGCTACTTAGATTCATTCTGCGCCTGTGTGTGTGTGTGCTTGTGTGTGTGTGAGGCACGCCAGCTTGTCTAGGCATTAATTTATGTGAATTAGCAATGCGAAGTTCATTTGATTAGCCCACGCTGGCGTCTGTGTGTGTATGTTTGTGTGTGTGTGTGTATCTGATTCAATTTGCGATGCGCCGCAATATGCAATAATTTGTTAATGCAAATATTAATTAAAAGATTAATACTAGACATGTTGCAATATTGCCGCCGCTTTGATGAATTGCCCATTTATTTCTTTTTACTTGATTTTTTCTTTATTTATTTATATTTTTATGATTTTGCCAGCTTGTTTATTGACATTTGCAGTGCCGCGGGGCGGGGATTGGCGCAATGTTTGCAAATGTTTGGCCCCACTTGTTTGTGGAACACAAATGAATGCAACATTAAGGCAACATTTTGTGTGCCATTGTTTCAAGCAGCATCACGGCAGCGGCATCTCCAGCAGCAGCAGCTGCTGCTGCTAATCACAATTTAGACATTTGAAACGCTTTGCAAGTTGGCCAATTGCTGACCAGATGCGCCACTCCCCTGCACCAGTTCCCAGCTAAAAGGTGAACCAAATGATATGCATTGGGGAACGAGTGGAGGCTAGGGGGCAAGGGGGGGGGGGGGGTGCGGGGGCGTTTCTTCTGGCTTAAGTTAAGCCGGCCGGCGCATAAAAATTGCAATTTTCGGCTTAAACTTTAAACTTTTGCAGACGGAGGCGGCAGCGTGTAGGAAATGTCAGTTGCAATTCATAAAAATTGCAGCAATAGCTGCGGCCACAGCAACAACAACAACAACAACAACAACAGCAACAACAGCAACAACAACAACAACAGCAATAACAACAAAGACTGTGCACTGTGATCACGAACATGCCATGATGAACATCGCGCGAGATTAACGCGCCTCCAACAACAACAACAATTACAACAACAACAACAGCAGCGAAGACGCCTTCTCTGGCTCCAGCTTGAGCTCCACCTCTGGCTCCACCCTGCACCCTACCCCCCGCCGCTGCCCCGTCCAGCTCAGCTCACCCTTTTTGTTGTTGTTGTTGTTGCTGTGGCTTTTCCTTTTGGTCTTTTGTGCACATTTTCTGTGTGCTGCGATTTGCCCGCGTTTTACTGGCCTTCGTCTTAGTCCACATCTATCGCAGCTTAAGTGCATCTGCATACCCTGCAATGGGGTATACCAATTTTGTAACATAACATAACACTTGCATGAGGCTAATCAGATTATTTCTTATTATCTCATGCCATTTTGGGTCGAATTAAATATGGTTCGGTTCGGGTTTCGGTTTAGTTACCCATTAAAAATGGGTAAAAGGGATATAATGTATTTGTGCAAATGTATGTAACAGGCAGAAGAAAACATCTCCGACCCCATAAAGTATATATATATTCTTGATTAGCATCACAAGACGAGTCGATCTAGTCGTGTCCGTCTGTATGTCCGTGTGTATGAACGAAAAGATCTCAGAACCTATTAGAGCTAAACACTTGAAATTTTAAATGTAGGTCCTTCTAGTGCTCGCGCAATACGAGCTTGATTCTGATAATCGACAACCTAACCCTAATCAAGTAATCGATAAAAATCGATATCGAAAACCTGCCTTTTGAGCAAATCTCGTAAGTCATAAGAGCTAGGGGCACCAAACCTGACATATAGCTTATAGAATAGTATAGGAATTTTTTTTATTTATTTTTATTACTGGTAGAAGAGGGTTCAGGGTACCCTCGGGGAGCTCCCGACTAGAACCTCTTACTGGTTTTCTTTGAGCAATTAGTTTGGCTTAAAGTTCGGTTTGTACTGAAAAATAAATTGAAATTTTAATTCGGGTTCGATCAGGTTCGGTTTCAAAATCGGAAAAATGCGAAAATTTAGACTTTAAGTAGAAGTTCTAAACAGATCTTCGACAACCCTGAGATATCTCTTGTACCTCATGCCACTGAAGGGTATTTAAACTTCGTCATACCGTAGCCAGCGAAATTTCTCGTTCACATTTGACATACAATCTCTGGGGGCATACTCGTATTTGCAATATTGTTTCACACTCGTATATCTCATTTGTGGCTATTGCTCTCCACCCAGAAAAAGTTCCCGTGTGCTCAGTGGTCGTCTCATAGTTGCTCAGTTTCTCAGTTTCCGTCAGTTTCGTGTCTCATTCACAATGATGAATGAATGAATCGCATGTGTAATTCATTTTATTCACAGTTTCAATCAGAGCGCATCTTAAGTGCGCTTTAAATGTGGCTAAATTTATGCAGCTCCTCTTGTTGGCCAATTTAATGCATTGGCCATAAGCCAATGCACCTAATGATATATGCACATATGCTAATTGAGCGCAGTTTCTTAGAGATATTCAGAAGACTTCAGAACTGACAAGTTGACATTTGGGACGACGCTCGTCTTAGCCAGGGCGAAACGCGTGTGTGACGTCGCTTCGATACTGAAACCAGAATCCGTTAGGGATAGAGGAAATTAAATATGATATGATGTGATATTCTCGTATATGATACAGAGATATGAGTTTGTCAATCGTTCTTTTCGATAAGCTCTTTTACTTTTCTTAAATCGATAAATATCGATGCGACACCGAGTTATAACTCGATAATTCTAAGAGCTCGATAGGCCAAACGTGGAATGCAGGCTCTCGTATTTGCAATATATACACTTCTATATCATACGCAGAACAAGTTTGTCATTTCTCTTCGCGATAGTCTTATTAAACCGATAAATATCGATAAATATCGACATCTATTTGTGGATTCCTCTTCCCAACTCCCCCTGAATTTGTAATATAATAACATTCTCTTTTAAGGGCAGAACTTTGCGCCTTGGTATGCACATACTTTGGCTTACCTTCTCCATGAAGATCAGACCGTAAGCTTCGGCATCCGGGTAAATCTTAGTCGTTAACACGCGACTAACTTTCTTAGTTGTTAATTAAATGTTGCGCAAGCCGTCATAGTTCTTAAAAAAAAACTAAACTGGAGTGTGATCTAATATTTGGCCAGATCTTTAAGATCTGTCTTAACTAAGCCTAACGATGTTTATATTTTCGATCTCTTTAGCTGGCTCGATCTTTACATTTTTCCTCGCGCTGATTCACTGAATCATAAATAGTTATGCAAATCGCGTTGTGAGTGTTTTATTAAAACACATTCGGTTAAGTTTCTATAGAATTTCTTTATTGTTTTTTTTTGTTGTTTTGTTTCGGATTTTTTCTGTGTTTTTTAAATAACGTAATGGATGCTAATTTTGTGTGGCCGCGCTGCGCGATATAAAAGCAACGCACTTTGTGAGTTCTGGCCAAGTTAAGATTCGAGACAAGACGCGACATGTTCAAGCTTTTGATCTGCCTGTTTGTGGTGGCCAGCGGAGTCAGTGGAGCCAGCATTGGCGGCGTCGATGTGACCACCGAGAAGCGTGAAATCGTGCCGGTGCTGCGCTTCGAGACCGAGAAGGATCCCAACGGCTCCTTCAAGTTCACCTACGAGGGCGGCGACAAGTCCTTCCGCGAGGAGAGCGGCGTCGTCCACAATGCCGGCACCGACGACGAGTCGCTTGAGGTGAGCGGCTCGTACCGTTACATCGATGCCGATGGCCAGCTGGTGGAGGTGCACTATACGGCCGGCAAGAACGGCTTTGTGCCCACCGGCACGCACATTCTCGGCGAGATAACCGCTCTGGCCAAGGCGGCCGCCGATCTGCCCCAGTACAGCGAGGAGCAGGAGCGCGAGCAGCGACTCAGCCAGCGTCGTGCACGCTCCAAGACGGAGCAGACCGCGGAGCCAGTCGAGCAGACCAAGCCCAAGGTTGAGCCAAAGGCTGCCGCTGCAGCTGAGGTGGTGCCCGTGCAGGTGGTGCAGGTGGAGCAGAAACCTGTCGTCGCCGCCGCCGCCGCTGCGGTGGAGAAAACCGACAAAGTCGCGTCAAAGACCGCCTAATTGAGACTTACTATAACCCAGCTCTAGTGCTTAGTATTATTTAATTTGTGTATTTGTAATGTGGTTAGCAATAAAAAAATTGAAAGAAAACAAATGAAAATCCAAAAGTTTACAATTGCCAGCCATGTCTATCTATAGCCCATGATATAGCCCAAAATCGCGAAGCCGAAAAATATCAGTTGGCAAATACCATGCTAATTGCCAAATAATGATGTCATAAACTTTATTGAGCCACTGAGATGCTCGATGCTTCGATGATGATGATGATGATGAAACATCAAAACATGATCTTAAATTTGCTGATAGTAATAATTAAATGTGCCTACTCGGGCGTGCACGACTAACAGATACTCCATTTTATACGTCTATACGCAAAAAATGAAAAAACATGATGAAACTTCCAAACATGATCTTAACTTTGATAGTATTAACTAAAAGTGCCTACTTGGGAGTGCACGACTAACAGATACTCCCTTTTATACCTCCATACACAAAACACACATATATGTAGATGAACCCACGCACAACCTCGAACGGGTCAAACTGGGCTCTATATGAGCCATACTTTGTAGGGTAAATTTATTCTTGATCAACTCCGGCTTTTATAGTCTAAAGTCTTATACAGAA